GCTCCTGTGTTCACATGCTTTGATTAAATAATTTATTTCATCATTCATTTATGCAGTGTACAGACTGTGTAACTGAAAAATCTTAAACGCCTTGCAAGAAAAATCTCTAAGCACTTTGCAGGAAAGAATGCAACTATAAAAACACAAAGCTAAAATTTAAAGAAATGAAAAAAAATGCAAAGTGCAGCAAAATATTAAATCAAAGCACTGAGCAGTTGCTGGAGGTGGGGGGGGGGACTTTTCAACAACCAGAGAAAGCCTGACTGATGAGGGAGAGCAGGATCTCACTTCTCTGGATTGAATGCAGAACAGAGATAAGGAGATGCCTGTAGGAATTGGATGCCAGTAGATATGGAAACTTCATGGATCGAGCAAGGAGGCATGATCCCGCTCCACCTTCATGCGCTCAGTCATTTCATGAGTAGAATGTGGGGACATTGTGTTGGGGGCATTGAGAGGCTACCTTATACCAGGCGTAGCTAATTACATGTAAACTTATATGTGTATGTTACATGCAGAATATGTATAAAAGAGGCCAACTTCATGCTGTACTATATTTCCACGGCACAATTTTAGAAACGAATTAAAACATACATATCATTATACAATTATATACATGTTTGCATGTACATGTTTGAAATGCTAGCTTAGGAAACTCGGAATGTATAAGCATATAGCATGTATGTAAAATCATTTGTACAATAATGCATATATTGATGCATATACTATACTTGAATTTTGTATATATATATATTAAGCAAAAGGGTACTGCTTCTTGCAGAGATTAAGAAGCAAGACAGGGATTAGAAAAATTCAGCTGGTTAAGATCGACATCAGGATTTGCAGATAATTCCATCCCGCATTTTATTACAACTTGCATCCACTGTGTCTTTGATGCTTCCAAACATCCACAAAAAAACCTAACTGACATTCATACTTAAGGGGTTGGAGGCATCAAGCTTATTTAACTCCAGCATGTCACCAAGGCCATGCTCAGTACTGATTCCAAGTAGATGGGACTGCACACGTAGCGGCCAGCTGCTATGCCACATATATAGTTGGATCAAAGCCATCATATTTTGCTATTCAGTTCATTAGAACAGTCCATGTTGCAAAACGATGAAACACTCCTAGATAGAGAACAATAACTATTAAAAATAACTGCAGTGTATTTATTTCACACGATGTTACCGCTGGAAACCTTTTTTTTAATGGTCATTGAGATAACAAGATGAGATTAATGATATCTTCCATTCACAAAGGTAGCAAAACGACCTATTTTCAGTAAGTGGAGGCACTTCATCTTAATCAACAGATGGCAAATTAATACTGAAAGGTTTATGTATTTTCATTTAGGTACACAAATGCTGGTTCTGTTTTCTTCTATGTTATGCTCGTGACTTGTTGGAGGGAAGCTGTTAAGGAGCGAGCTTGGGGGAAAAAGGAGAAAATGCAAACCATTTGAGGGAAACATATGTTTGTAGTCCGCCTCCTTCTTTTGCCTGGGTCTCTCTGTGACTCAAGTCTGCAAAGCCTGAGGTATAGCTCTGTTGAAGGGGCAATGTTTAGGATAGTTAAAAGCATGTGATTCAAAAAATGTCAATGGCTCCATTCCCCACTCATTTCTTTTTATTTATAAGCTTACTTTCCCCCCCTTCACTATATAAGGTCCCAGGGTGACTTACAGCAAAGGAGTATAAAGTTATAAAACTGTTAGCAATAATAAAAATAAGTCAATCATTCCAAATGGAACACAGCAGTATAGATCCAATAAAAGGTGGGTACCACAAAACAAAAGATCTTAATTGACAAAGGCCAGGATAAAGAAGTAAATTCAGTTTACGGCAAGTGCTGTACAATGAAGGTGAAACAGGCACATCAGTGGAGAAGGACTTATACAGTTTAAGGGCTGCCTCTATGGATGTTGGTGACTTCTAACAAAACAGAAAAGGTGGCAGAAATTGCTGCAGTTCACATGTTTGTCTGTGGTCAGGAACAGAAATCAGTTAAGTGAATGCAATTTGCATTTGTTCATATCATTGTTTTACAGTGTGTTGTGAATGTCTTTTTTCCACATTGCTTTGACGTTTACACTGAAATGAATGTAAGTTACATAAATAGTTAAATAGTGCAAGACAAATGACAGTATTTGTTGGAAAGTGAACCGTAGCAGAATAGAAACAGTGTTGATGGTGACAAGTGAACATTGGAATGGAAATCACTGTCTTCTTGCATCCCCAGCTGTCAGAGAGAAAGTTATCTCTTGAAGGACATTCCCACACACTTATGTGGGTGACCTAAGTACCAAGAAAGCCCCTTCTGCATATCTTAGTATTCAAGAAGCTTGGTAGGGATGAAGACAGACTTTTTGATATTTGCCTTCCCCACACCCAGTCCATTACTAGTCTCTAATTTCATAGTTTCATAGTCTTCTGGCAGGAGTCTTGTGGTGGACCTATTGATTCTTATTTGACAGAGTTCTTCTTTAGCCAGTTGTTTGAATTTCTACAGCTACAGATAATTCTGTCTGCCTTGCTAAGGGATGTTAGGAGTGCAGTATGAATGCTGAGAACTTGGTGTGCCCCCGCCCGCCCCCAGACACAGCTGCTGGCTCAGAGCTTATTGCCAATACTCAGGCTCACCAATCAATAGAACATAATTAAGCAGCTTCAGAATGCTGCAGGCAAGCTCTGTTGAACACATCTGCTGGCTGAAACTCAAGCTGTGATGAGCATGTCATAGAAAGAGAGTGAATCCAAACCATTTATGGGTATTAAGGCTGCAGTCTTAAAACACGCTCACACCTCATTGAACATAGTGGGACTTACTTCAGTGTAAACACACAAAGGACTGAACTGCAAGGTTGCAGTTCTTTTGGCATACTTAAAAGCAGGGGCAGAGAAGCTTTTTCAGCCTAAGGGCTGCATATGTGCTGGGATAACTCAGCAGAGCAGGAGACTCCTAATCTGAGGGACGTGGTTTTGAACCCAACATTGAGCAAAATATTCATACATTGCATGGGTTGGGACAGTGCTTTTTTCAGGAGGTACTCAGGGGTATGCAGTACCAGAACCTTGTTGTTGTTGTTGTTGTTGTTGTTAAAAAGTGTGGCACTTACTGTAACAACTTTATGGAGAGTACCAGACCTATTTTTCTAGAAAAAAAGCATTGGGTTGGGACTTGATGACTCTTGTGGTCCCTTCCAACTCTACAGTTCTATGATTCCTTTCTGCCAATGGTGGGTAGAGCCAGAGACAAAAGAGGCAGAGCAACAAATGCAAATTTTAGTTTTGTACAGTATGCTAGTTTCTGAACATCCCCTCCTCTCTTCTACCCAGACAAGCAAAAGGCATTATCAGGGTTCACTGACATATTAATAAGGCAACATGCTATAGGAGTCTGTGCAGCATGACGTGTGTGTGTGTGTGGAGAGAGAGAGAGAGAGCAGCTGTGGCTGGGGAGGGTGTGTGGTGTGGAGAGAGCCCTGCAGGCCAAACAGAGACCTGGTTGGCCACATTTACCCCCTGGGCCTGAGGTTTCTGCACCCCGTTTAAAAATAGAGAATTCCAAAAGAATGTTACAAAAGACAAGGGTTACAAACCATCTAAAATGCAAGTAGAATATGATGTTTCAGTTTGTTAGTTTGTGCAATCAATAAACTAAGGAGATTATAGGTATAGGTATAAATATAAAAAGATACCTGAGAGGGTTAAGCCAATCATGAGTGGACTGGGGTTCTTAAGTGTACTAAACCACAGGGTTATATTTAAGTCACTGAACCAAGTTTGAATTTTGATAAGCTGTTGAGTAAAAGCAGTTATTCTCTGCAAGTTTTTTTTAATATAATGGATCGGTCTATTCCAGTCTGTGTTAATTTCACAAATGTTTATTCATTAGTCCTTTCAGTCTTATTTCCATATTAATCTGCATGTTTTGTTTTTTAAATCTGTATGAAAATTCGTACATGAATTTGTATTTAAATACTTTAATATATGTACTTCATAAGAAAATACATATTTATATAATATTTTTGCTCAGTGTATGCATTTCTAAATGTTTTTATCCTATAATGCTGAGAGCTGTATTGCAAAGTCAGGAGAAGTGCGAAATCCAAAGATTATGTTCCTTTCCATGCATTAGTCCAGGAGGTGAGAATCAAGTTAGTGTGCCTAAAAATGTAAACCAGACAAAACTGTTCTTCATCCCTACATGTGGTCCAGGGTGTGATCCATAAGCTGATCAGAGCACACTTATTTGGGAGCAAGCTTCATTTAGTACAGTGGGACTCACTATGGGGTAAACCTGCATAGAATCAGGCTGCATGTTATTAGGGATACAGGAGAAATTTGATGCAGTTCACATTTAAACCTACCTAACTCACATTTTTCAAAACAGTATAAGATTTGAAACACAACCATCCTTTAAAATGCGGACTTCTCCAAATTTTACAGGGCAGTTATCCAACCAGGCAATGTGTACAAAAATGTATATAAAAAGTGGTGTATATAGTGAAAATAACATACAAAATGTGTTGTAATAGGGAAAACTTGCTTGTGAAAAAATGTATATACTAGACTGAAAGGAGAAATTTGCTCCATAATGCAGATGAATTTTCAAGAGGACCATATACATAAATATGTATGTGTGTGTGTGTATATATATATATATATATATAGCCAGAAACCGATGAGGTAATGTGAAGGACTGAACTTAAGATTGGGAAAATGAGAAACTGGGAGAATCTGTCTAAAATAGAGATTCACCCACCCTTACTAAGTGCTTGTTTCAAGCTTCCATTCAAGAAGCTCTAAAACAACTTTTTCTTCAGCTGAAAATCATCTCTGTTGACCATTTGCACAAACAGTATTCAGCTATGACAGAATGGTTGTATAGCAAGGAGAGTGGTAATATGTCACATTGATAATAAAATTGATTGATTGATAAAAATTATCATGGACAATGATAATACATAAAGTTTTGTTTAATTGTTCTCTTCCTAGATGGTTGCCCAGGTCTGTGTTATGGAAATGGAAGATGCACCCTTGATCAGAATGGATGGCATTGTGTCTGCCAGGTGGGCTGGAGCGGAATGGGATGCAATGTTGTCATGGAAATGATGTGTGGAGACAGCATCGATAATGATGGAGGTACGGGCATGCTTTATGACCCCCAAGTATTGTACAGTTAGATCCTATGTATTGCCTTTTTGAGGGATAAAGGTGGCGCTGTGGGTTAAACACAGAGCTTAGGACCTGCCGATCAGAAGGTCGGATGTTTGAATCCCTGCGACGGGGTGAGCTCCCGTTGCTGGGTCCCTGCTCCTGCCAACCTAGCAGTTCAAAAGCATGTCAAAGTGCAAGTAGATAAATAGGTACCGCTCCGGTGGGAAGGTAAACGGCGTTTCCGTGTGCTGCTCTGGTTCGCCAGAAGCGGCTTAGTCATGCTGGCCACATGACCCGGAAGCTGTACGCCGGCTCCCTCGGCCAATAAAGCAAGATGAGCGCTGCAACCCCAGAGTCGGCCACGACTGGACCTAATGGTCAGGGGTCCCTTTACCTTTACCTTTTATTGCCTTTTTGGTGTCTTACTTCCCACCCCGCCGAGGGCCATCTGTTATCAAAAGTAACTTACCCTTTAAGTTTTTAGTACTGATCCTGTTTTGACTAGCAAGCTTGTTGCTTGCTCGTTTTTAAACTAATTTCACTCTTTTAATTTTCTGTTATTTGTGAGCCTATTTGGGGCTAAAAGCAAGTATATCACATGAATATTTAAACTGGCAAATAAACAAAGTGAAGGACCACACTGCAGAGTGCACAATTCAGACATGATTCTCTGAAGTGGGATAATAATGTGTCCTCTCAACCATTTCGTCCCACCTCCAAACTCTTCATCTTCAAATATGCACATAACATTAAAGGCACCTCTCTCAATCTGAAACAGTGCAACAGATGCACAGCTGTGGAGTGCTGATTTGAGCTTGTGGCGTACATCTGTGCCATGCTGGCAGGACTTAATGATAGCAGCCGTGTTCAACTGATGCCCGCCGTGGCAAAAATTTCTGAGTTTTCTGAGAAATTGCCACATTTTACTACTTCTTTCAGTTTATTCCTGTTTGCCTCTCCCACTTTGCTCCTTTGGCACAGCAGCCACAAGTTTCCTGACTGGGGGTGGCCTAAAATATCTGGAGGGCACCAGGCTGGCAAAGGATGATCTAAGATGATATTTCAGATTTGCTGAAAAGGTTCACACACACACACACACACACACACACACACATGCTTTTGTATGTCCAGCTATTGTTCAAAAAGCAGCAGGGATGGTTCCATATAAACTGCCTGGAAAGCCTATGCTGAAATCTTTGAGTATGACATTCTCACATTAGAGTCTCAGTCTCCAGAATAATGGCACTACCTAAAACCAGAACCAACAAGACTGCAGATTGCAAGTAGTTTGGGTGAGGATCACATCACTTCTAAGCTTTCTGTAGAGCATAGAGCATGCTGTGGCTCTACAGAGATGGGTCCAAGCCTCCAAGCAGATATTCACTCTGATTACCAGACATTCTTACTTAGTCTGTGCAGCTGGTATTGAGTAAAAGCGGAAGCGTTCCAAATTTGATCCAGACCCCAATCTTGCAATCCTACAATCCACAATTACAGCCCTCCTTTGACCCCAATCCTGCTAAGTCCCCCCCCCCCACTTTAAAAAGAGCAACAGACAATGGTAGTTTTTATTAGTGTTTTTGCATACAAAATAAGATCTCCAAAACCAAGGCATCAAAAAACAATCCCAGCAGCAGAAGTTGAAACAATTTTAATGTTGTTATGTATTGCTTTTATATCCTGCCTTTCCTTCTGGAGGAGCCCTGAATGGCAAACATATCTGTACTGTAAAATATTATAGGAAGCATCCTAAAAACAGTGTCTGTTAATGTCAGTGGATTAGACTAACAAAGGGTACAATCCTAGCAAGTATGTAGCTTGTGGACACATCTATGCTGTTAGAGGCCAAAGTGCCCTCTGTGACTTCATTTTGTACACCAGCTGTAGCCATATCTGGATCAGGAGGATCTGACTACTAGAGTCCAAGCATTGGTAACCTTGAGAATAGATTATTGCAATGTGAGGCAGCCCTTGGCCCTGAAACTCCAGCTGGTGCAGATGATGTGACACCGCTGCTAAAACATCTCCATTGGCTTCTGCTACCAGGCCAGGTTGAACACTCTTATGTTAACATACAAAGCCCTGAACCACTTGGATCTTTTACAGACTGCCTGAGCCCTTATATCCTAGCTGAGATAATCCAGAGGAGCAATTTTATTTGCCCTTCATGCCACAGAGGCCCAACTTCCCTCAACCAAAAGTTAGGCATTTAGTGTTGCCCATCTCCATGCTAGGGAACATTCTTTAAGCAGAGATACATCAGACATCTTCACTTTTGACTTTTAAGTGTCTCTTCAAGATTTCTTTATGCCAACAGGCCCACACAGCAGTTTTGAATAACCATTTTAAAACAATTGTTTTGAAAGGTTTTTTAATGTTGTTTTGTATTTTATTGTTTTATCATATGTTGCTGTAAACTGTCCTGATATTTTATAAGATGGCAGCAGGGCTTTTTTTCAGCTGTAACTCAGTTCCAGCACCTCTCAGGTGGGTGCATTGCCATTATAAGAGAACAAGGGAGTTCATGGTGAGTTCAGGCACCTCTTTTATTGGAAAAATAGCACTGTGTTGTATATTAGTTGTTTATTGTGTATACAATACAAGACGCTGTTGGCGCTGTGGTCTAAACCACTGAGCCACTTGGGCTTGCCAGTCGGAAGATTGGCGGTTCGAATCCATACAACGGGGTGAGCTCCCATTGCTCTGTCCCAGCTTCTGCCAACTAAGTGGTTTGAAAGCATACCAGTGCAAGTAGATTAATAGGTACTGCTGTGGTGGGAAGGTAAACGGCATTTCTGTGTGCTCTGACACTCGTCACAGTGTCCCATTACGCCAGAAGCGGTTTAGTCATGCTGGCCACATGACCCAGAAGCTGTCTGTGGACAAGCGCCGGCTCCCTTGGCCTGAAAAGCAAGATGAGCACTGCACCCGATAGTCGCCTTTGACTGGACTTAACCGTCCAGGGGTCCTTTACCTTACCTTTACCTTTACAACACAGAGCAAAAAATATATAGGAACTTGCTGTCATTCCATCCCAAATACTCTAGCCAAACTTGAACCTAGCTTTCCTACTTTTATTTTCCTTCCTTCCTTCCTTCTCCATTGTTTTTTCCTTACTGATGTAGATAAAACTAACTCAGCTTATCATTCTTTCACATATAGATTATTGCACAGTATTATTTTCTGATCTTCCTATCTCACATTGTAAGCTGCTTATCTCTGTCCTTAATTCTTCTGCTTACTGATCTTGCACAGCAGTCCAACATGTATCTCCTTTTTTCTTCTCTCTTCCTCATTTCATATTGAATAGGAGGTGCCACACCTTGCTTTCCTTACCTTGCTACTCTGCTTTCAATTTATTTACCTTCTTGCATTGTGTGACCAGGTGGCGACAGCCCCAGCCCCCAGGGATGTGGAATTAAAATTAGGCCAAACTTTATTAAACTTCCGAATGTAGAAAGACCTTGGCTTAGGCCTTGGGCATGTATACTTCCCAACCCCCCAGCCGGGAGGAACTGGGGCTCATCAGCGTAAATGGGATATGGGAGTGCTCTGTGAGACATAAGTATAGCAGGCAGCCAAGCCCATATCCCTGCACGCAGGGTAGTTCACTGACGACCTTTCAGTGTATGGCCAATGACAACCATATATATATATATAACCCCTTTAAGAGGGGGACCCTGGAATCACTGCTGCAGCAGGGTGAGTCACCACTCCCCCCCCCCCATATAGGGAAGAAAAGACTAAAGGATTCCACCCAAGGCCAAAACCGCCAAAGTTGTGACGAATTGCTACGTGGAAGAGAAAACCTGCCAATGCAGGAAAATTTCTTCCCGGTCCTTCAACAGCAACTGTCAAAGGCCGTAGCAGCGCCCTCTAAACAGGAAGAAAAAGTTAATCTGCAAACAAGAAGCATTAAACAAAGGGAGGGTAAGGAGGGTGAATCTCCAGAGCTGACTGCCCGGCTATTGTTGGCTCCACCCCCTATTTATAAATGGGGCTGGCCCCACCTCCCAGCAAGAAACTTGATTACTGAGGCTGGGTGTGAACCTCCAAAAATTAACACTGAGAGGCAAGCCAGCCCCTGTTTGCCAGTAAGCTCCCTGGGAACCGTAGCACCACGTGCGATCCCTCAAAGGGCACCCACAGTGTAAAGTGTGAGTGCTCATTCTCCATTCTTCTGTTGGCTATTGCACCACCAACTTCGTTCTAAACTCTCCCCTCAGCTGGCCTCCGCCTGCCTAGCTCTTTACTTACCACCAGTCCAGGGGCTGTTATCTCTAACTATGGGCCACCTAGCCTTTTATCACCCCCCATTGGAGATCCACCCTTCCCCTTCTTGCACAGGTACTTCATTGCGTGGAGAAAAAGTAGGGCATAGATGTATGGATGGTAAGCAAGGAATGCTGAAATTGTCGTGCACACACACACATATAATATCCATGGTGTTTCTATTGTTAAGTCTCTTTGAGATGTTTCCTAGGAAGAGATCGTAAATGCAGGTAAATAAATAAATAATGCATTCTTCCCAGCCGTTGATCCTTTGGCTGCTGTATTGCAACATTTTTTCCTGTATTATCCATTTCAGATGGTTTGACAGACTGTATAGACCCTGACTGCTGCCAGCAAAGCAATTGCTATTCAAGCCCGCTCTGTCAAGGGTCCCCTGATCCCCTTGACCTCATTCAGCAGAGCCAGCCTCCTTTCTCTCAGCATCCTCCAAGGCTCTTTTATGATAGAATCAAGTTTCTTATTGGCAAGGAAAGCACTCATGTAATCCGAGGAGATGTCTCATTTGAGAGCAGGTAAGTGTTTTGTGTGTTTTCTTTACTACTGAAAGCTGCTTTCCAAATTGAAGGTACTCAACCACTACACGGGTAGGAATGGTTGGTGTGTGTGTGTGTGGAATTAAATGATCCTTTATAACCTCTTTGGGGAATATTGCCTGGTCTTCTCCACGCTTAAAATAAGGCCATAAAAAGATATTTTAGATTTGCTGCATAGGTCTTTTACACATATATATTGTTTTCAGTTTTCAGTCATGAAATAGCGTTGACATGCAAAAATGTCCAATAACTTAATAAAAAATAGTTTACATTTGTTTACATTTAAAACAACAGGAAGAATGCTGCAGTCCTTTTAAAGCTTTTTTGGGAAGCTCTGACCAAGAAGGATACTTCCTTTTGAAAGATAAATGGCCCCATGTAGAATCATCTCAGGAGCTCATGGTCACATTCTGTGATATTTATGTATTTTTGGTTGAATTCTGATGCTATTTTATGTTGTTTTGATTGATGTATATCTTGTACTTTTATTGTATGTTTCTTTTGAGTTCATATGTGTTAATCTTGTTCACTGCTTTGGGGACCTTTGGGCTAAAAAGTTGTATATAAATGAAACTTACCATGCCATAAGGACTCCCCACATGTGGTAAATGAGCACACCACAGACAGGATGATGTATGCTGATGCACTAGTTTGCTACACGCAGGAAAGGCTGTGTGACTTTGGAGTGTTTTCAGGCATAGGACCATAATTTATAGAAGAGCCATAGCAGCTTAGTGGTAGAACAACATCTCAGTCTCCAGCATCTCCAGATAGGAAGGTCTTGCCTGAAACCCTGAAGAGCCTCTGGCAATCAATATCAACGATACTAAGCTGGGTGAACTAATGGCCTGACCCAGTAAAAGGCAGCTTCCTATTCCCTTGCCAGAAGAATTCAGGGGCTATAACACAATAGGCTCTGACTGCTGTGGAAGGAACTGTAGCTCAATGGTAAGTTCATAGTTTGGATGCAGAAGGTCCCAAGTTCAATCCTTGACATCTCCATTTGGGGAGAGGGGAGATCCAGGTGGCTGATGAGACACTGGAAAGCTCTTCAATATTTAACACTGGGCTAGATGTACAAATACTTATATTCCTGTGAAAAAGTTGAAATCTGGAACTGGGCTTCTTCGTTGGTTGTTCTTAAATTGGGGAGAAATTTCCAAAGGCAAAGTGACGCTTCATATGTGGGGCTAAGCTGGTGCAGTTTGTGAAGGAAGAGCCATTTGGGAGACTCTTGAATGATGTACATGATCTAGATCTGTATCAGTTTGTTTGGAATGGCATGGAGGGGGTAATCTGTGAACAGAAACCAGCATAGTAGAGAAGAACAGAAAGATCTTCCTGATCTAACAAATAGCTCTGTGTACTTTACACCAATAAAGACATTTAAAGCAGTTTGTTCTTTTGTTGCACTAAAAATGAACAGGATCCTACAGCCACAACAAACTTCTGAAGGTGGCTTGCTTAAGCAGGTAGTATCAGGCTGGAGTTGCATGAGCTTGGCTAAGTCTAAGCAGAAAAGACTCTCCTGAATCAGAGCAAAGGCCTATCTAGTCCAGCATCCTGTTTCCCACAGTGGCTAGCCCTGATGTCTCTTGAAAGGCTCAGCATCATGACATGAGGGCAATAGCCATCTCCTGTAGTTCCCAAGTAACTGTATTGAGAAGCAATGCTGCTTTTTATCCTGGAGGCAACATACTGCCATTATGGCTATTAGTCTTATCCTGACAAGGTCTGGAGATCAACCGAGCCCTTCTATACGTCTTGATCTCTCCCTCTTTCACAAAAAGTAGAGTGACTTTAAAGAGTAGTCCTTTATCTTTGAGCCTTGCACTCTGTCACCTCTCAGTCTATTGGAAGCATTGGGGTACAACTCTCCTTGGAGGCTGATGTGCCTGCATAGGAAAAAGTAGATAGAGGGAGGAACCTCCCAAGTTTCCTCAACTGTCCTTTCTGACCTAACCTGTGGTGACCTTTCCTCAGGTGCTAGACTGATAGGCTTTTTGACCTCATTACCTGCTTCCTGCTTCTTCATCCTCACCTTAGGAGAGGATACGTGTTTCTGTCCTGTACAAGAGCAAGCATGGCTCAAGGCAACGTCACCTTAGCTAGGATCTTTCTTAGCCAGCATATACTTTCCAGAATGAATGTAGCTTTCTTATTTTCCTAAACTCAGAGTCTCATGGTGATTCTATCCAAGTTAAGTGTGCCCCTTCAGTAGGAATGCACAGTATTAAGTTCAACTTCTGGTTAGCGTTTTAACTCCAAATGCCAGCACAGTCAGCATGAGGCCTCTGGGGTACAGAAGGGACAGTTCCTCAGGGTGAATCTGGTTCAAGAGGTCTGCCTCTTGGGGGCCTGTTTTGGTTCTCTGGTCAAAGGGGCTGCTGGCTGACTGGCTCAGGCCTGGTGGCAAGGCCTAGGTTCAGTCCCTCCATGGCTTGCACCACTGGTCTTCCTGAACCAGCTGGTCACTCCTTCTCTGTCAGGGAATAGTATGATGTAATTCCTCATCCAACCAGGAGTTTCTGCCAGGAAATTCTCATCAGTTCTTATTCAAACAGGGAATTATCATCAATGTGCCTTAGATTCAGTTTGCTGGAAAATAATGGTGGTTGTGTGAGGGAATGATATACCTTTGAGTCTATAATACATATGTGTGTTTCTGTGTGGCTATAGAGAAGTAGTTTAATGCTCTGAAGGCAAGGTTACTGATATTTTCCTCCGAAAAGGGAGTAACATTTGAAATATGCAGCTCATAAGGTTTTATACAGCAGCCCACCCCAGGCAACTATAATTTATGTACTGGTGTCGACAGCCACAGATCATCCATAATACCTAACAGTTTCTCATGTACCTTGGCCTGTAAATTAGATTTCTTGGTTCTTAAACATTGTTGTACTGAAGGAGAAAATATAGCTAGTTGTGCTGATGTACTAGAGAGGGAGAAATCCCAAAATAAGGATAGGATAATATCTTTATTAGATCAGTGCCTGGATTGGCAGCCACCTGAGGACTCCACACACACCACTCTGAGATCCATCATGAAAGATAAGCAGGATATGAATGTAATTAAATAAAAAATATTAGGTTAGACCATGCTAGGTGCAAAACAGATTTGAGGTTGCACCAAAGGTTAATAGGAAGAAGGAAAAAAACAACCATTCTACCTTTGAATACAAAAAAGGCAACATTTGGATTCATTTCCTATGTGCTGCAATTAACACATGATATGGATCTGAATTGTTCTTTGTGCTGAATGTCAAAATTGGATGCCAAACATGCTTTTAAAGGAAGCTGGGAGGCTTGTATGATGTGGAAACAATAAGAGGCAGGTATTAAAATGCCCTTGTGAAGGAATGGGGCTTTCAGCATTTTGTGTTTGTGTTTTTGTATGCAAGTAATGGGTTATAGAATGGTTTTGCTCTAAAGGCTCTCATGCATAAGAAGGTTAAAAAAACAACTCACACAAATGTTAAAAGTTCAAGGGAATGTTTTGCTCAGAATGCTGTTCACAGGAGGGTCAAAAGTTTAAGAGGATATGTTTTGCGCAGGAGATTCAAAAGTTGTTCCTAAGAACATGGCAATTCAAGGGAAGTAGAAACTTAACTAAGATACTACTCATCTACTGTTTAATTAAAGTGCTGGAAGTTAGCTAAACATCAAGGACTTTGTTGTGCGGAGCTGGAGTTTAAGAGCTGCAAGAGAATAAGAGGGATAAACAGTTTTTAAGACTGCATGAACACTGGAAAATGTTGGCGTTTCCAGTTGAATGCTGCAGGAGGAAGAAACCAAGAGAGGACCACAAAGGGATCCACAAGCTGAACTGTGGGGTGAAAATTGTTAAGTATTGGCTTGATTCAGGAAACATTCTAGAATAGGTATAGCTGGATGCTTTTATCTCTTAAACTCTAATGGATAACTATGCAAACTTTAAAATTAGAGTCTTTCGCCCTTAAATTTCTCCCTCAACCTGCTTAACTTTTCATTTTGCTAAATTCTTAAGTAAAATCATAATATGGTCTGAAACATTATTATTCACCCTGTGTCTGAATGCTGTACCACTTTATCTAATACTGGAAGAAAAGAAGAGATTGAGAGGAGATATGATAGCCATCTTCAAATATCTAAAGGGCTGTCACATGGAAGATGGAACAAGCTTGTTTTCTCCTGCTGTGGAGGATAGGACCCAAACCAATAGATTCAAGTTACAATAAAGGAGATTCCAACTAAACACCACAAAGAATTTTCTAGTTTGACAGTGGAACAAACTTCCTCGGAAGGTGGTGGACTCTCTTTCATGGGAGACTTTAGTTGAGATTCCTGCATTGCAGGGGGGTTGAACTAGATGCCCCTTGGGGTCCTTTTTAACTCTACAATTCTATGATTCTAAGTTCAGAAGTGCTGTTTGGTGTGAGCAGCCAGAGACGGGGGAAATAATATCTACAGAGTGACAGCAGTGAGGTTTTAAAAAAAGGTGGAGTTGGTTTGGCTGATTTGTTTGAGAGGAATAAAAAGAGAAGCAAGGCAGAGACTTTCATAATAGATAGACCATGGCTTGACTGTTTTGGGAACTGTACTAGACTGTGATTTCAGGACTGACCCTAGGATTCCATGCCTGAATATTCTTCAGAGACAGGAGCCTGTCTGTACAGATTGAACCTTCCTCTTTGCATTGGACCTGAACCTGTATTTGATCATTGACTCCTCTCTAGTGTTGCCCTTGGGACTGTTGTCAGTAGCACTTTCTCCTTACACTTCGCTGCTTGCTGTGTGCACTATTGGGACTTACCTCAATGTAAAACAGGTTTCAGGGTACAGTTTGTGTACCCATGTTTACAAACCTATGGTTATTCACATGCGTAGTGAACTCTTTCAGATCTAGGAATTATCTCCTTCAGTTAAACCAAGTTCACTGAGCTAATTCAAAAATCTCTAAACTAAACCTGAAAGTAGTTTCCATAATTAAAGGCAAATTAAGTTCATTGGGGGGGGGGGTTGAACTTTGAATGATTCCTAGTTCACCTTCAAATTCACTCCCTTTCTCTCTTAGCTTTATTTAAAAAAAAAAAAAAAAGTAAGTCAAGTGGATATTTCTAAAGTTGGAATCAGCATTATAAGTTTCAGGCTATACTGTTGCTAAGCACTTTTAGCACTTAATCAGGAACAGCAGGAAGCACAATTTTGATGGAGTGTCTCCATCAAAAGAAGGAGGAGCAAAGGTATGAGGAGGAGATGCTGCAGTTGAAACAACCACCACCACCCAAGGTCACAACAAAGGATTTCATGGCATTCACCCCTGGAGAGGATCCCTGTGACTCTTCTTACCTTTGCATGAACATTTCCTGTGACACTTGGCAAAAATCAATATCAATACTAAGCATTGGTGCAATGTATCAAGTATTCAGAGCATATCACATACATTATCTCAGTAATCCTTGATACAACCCTGTAAAGGTGACCATTGTTTTATCTCTGTATTGCAAACACTGAGATAGGGGAATTGACATGGCTTAGTTCATGGCAGAGAGAAAATTTTGACTGGCGCTTACTAGATTTCACTTATAGTCACAATATAACACCAGTGTTGAGACTGCCCTTCAGTCACTTACCTTTCATGATGGACCCCTTAGCACTTCTAAATGAGCCAAATATATTGACCTACTTAAAGCGTGAAAAGACTTGACAGTCTGATGTTCATACTGTGGCCATGGATTGAGGGTGTGCATATTAAAATAGTTTACCCATTTTTAGCCACATATTGCTAGCAGTTTGCTTGATTTGCCTTCATACATGTGACTAAAATTATTCTAGGCCTAGAGTTAATTGCCCTCCCGAGGCTGCTTACACCAGTGTTGTCAGTAGGAAGGAAATGAATAAACCTTACTAGACCTTTTTTCCTTAATACATTTCACTGCAACATTTGATGCAATAAATTATACATTTCTTTGAGTAAAATTGCCATTTGTTAGTTTGTCTATCAGACATACATTTCAGCAGTTAATGCCTCTTCTGTTGGTCAGAAAAGACTTGTAACGTTATATGTAAGACAATGTACAAGCAATTGAAAATGCAAGACATACAGCTAGAGAAATAAATAATTGAGCCTAAGGCTATCCATAACTACTAGTCATGATGGCTATGTTCTACCACCACTATCAGAGGCAGTATGCCTGTGAATATGAGTTACTATAAAGCATAAGTGGACAGGCTGCAGTAGTACTCAGGTCCTGCTTGTGGGCTTCACATAGGCATCTGGTTGGGTACTAGAGCAACAGGGTGCTGGACTAGATGGGTCATTGGCTAGATTCAGCAGGCTTTTATTGTTGTTGCTGTTGGCATCTGCCTGTCTTGGGAGACAATGGAGAGTATACTTTGGGGGGTGAAGTCAAACATTTGGAGAGTTGCAGCGCCTGCTACAGCTGTAGAGACCCATATGAGAGAGACATAGTTTGTTGCAGCTGGGGCAGATGAAGGCAGCTGGTTTTGTGATGCAGATGCATCATGGTGTTCATTCTCTCTGCGCTCTATCCAGTGGCCACCCCTCCTTTGTTCACTCTTGTTGATGAATGACCTGTCTGTCTCCAGGCACTACAATCTTCTGCAAGGGATTCCCACATGGCAGGGTTGATGTTTCTAGCCTTCATGTCTCACTTGCAGTCATCTTTGTAACAGATATTGATCTGCCAAGGGGCCTGGTGCCTGAAGACAGCTCCCCTGTAGAACATGTCCCTGCGAATCCTGCTGTTTTGTGGACATGCCCAAACCAGTGCAGATGTCACTGAGACAGGAGTGTGAATGTGGTAGGATGTGGTATTAGGTGTGCACATCTTTATTTGAGACTCTGCCCTGTCATGTGATGCCCCAAATCTTCCTGACAACAGCACATGTGGAAGGTGTTGAGACATCGCTCCTGGTGGTTGTAAGTCACTTCCATAAAGCAGCATGCTCAACACACAAGGCTGGTAGACCTTCATCTTAGGATCAGTTGTTAGCATTACATTCTCCCATACCATTTTGGGAGAGGGAGAGGCAAGCCATTGCCATGACTGCCTTGCCAATATGCTTATCCAGTTCAGTGTCAGTGGAAAGGTTGCTGGTTATGGTGGAGTCCTCTGCAAAATCCATGCAAGGGACCCTATTTTGTTAGGGGATTGCAATGCAAGCCCCTTCCTGAATCAGGGTGGAGTTTGTATGGAATCCTGCAAAACTGGGGAGGATTAAACCTTGCTCATCAGCTGGTGAGTGGGGGGTTAAATTATCCTTACTTTGACTGTGTGCACTGTTCCTCCTCCTGCCTCTCTAGCTCACACTGGCAATGCCATTTCAGCCTCAGTGGCCAAGGGAAATGGTGGACAATGGTAGAGCAGGATGGTTGCTGTGGACCTGTCTAGGCCTTTCCTAACAATTCCTCCACAGCTCGCCTGGACCACCCACCTCTGTCTCAATCTGTGCTTTTGTCTCTTATCTCCCTCCTCCGCTTCCCTTTTCCTCAGGGTCCATCACTGCTGTGATGGTGATGCAGTTCTCAGAAGTTTATTATAATGCTGTACTTCACTGTACAACCTGTGCAACTATCATTGGATGTCTCAGTATCTTCCTTTATTTATGCTCATTTCACCCTGTCTTATTGCAGACGTGCTTGTGTTGTTCGAGGCCAGGTGGTAGCGATAGATGGAACCCCCCTGGTTGGCGTGAATGTGAGTTTCCAAAACCACAATGATTATGGATACACCATCAGCCGACAGGATGGAAGGTGAGATAGTTTATTCTGTGTCTTCTGATACTATTTTACTTCATTTTTGAGAAGCATTTGGTTAATTCAGTTGTTGAAAATAACTTGGCTGTCAACTAATTAAATAATTATGTCTGGAGACTCGTCTGTCTTTTAAACTGATAAATTACTTGATTTTATTTTAATGCAAATCAGCAAAATATACAATTTTTGGTAAATATTTTTAGTTAATTTTTCAGTCGATAAAAGACAAGTAAAGCAGCTATAACAAAAGAGCAGAAATAGAGAACATTAATACAAAACGAAATAAATATATAGACATGCATGGTAAATGCAGTCTGTGGGTTGAGTAGAAAGGTGAAATTTGTATGTATTTGAATAAGGCACATTGGTAGTTTCTGTATAATTCCAAATTACCGAGTCTTGTGATGGTAGTTTTCTTGAGAATATTGATGTTGCTCTATAAGTAATAAAAAATCCCAAGGTTCTAGTCCTTATCTAAATTTCAAATTACATGAAATTTTCTCCATTACAAAATATACCATTCTGAGACATACTACATGCACTATAACTAACATAAATGAACAAAAGTCCTCCTCAGAAAATAAAATATACCTTCAACGCTTTATTTTTACTATTGTTTTATAGGTGATTGTATGACTTTTGTTGTATTCATTGTACCACTTTTACTTTTTTCTGATTTTACATCATGCTTTGGACTTTTACATTTTTGTAAGTCACTTGGAGATTTCTTACGTGGCAAGCAACTAATAAATTGAAATAACAGTAATTGTTATATGCCACCCCAATCTCTGAGCGACAAGAGATTCCAGGAGTTTCAGGCACTTACCCAGCGTTCGGTTTTGTTGGAATGAGAGACAGTGGAGCCTGTTGTATCTTTGGGATATGTGGTTTATTGACACCAATATGCAACCTGAACCTAAGGTGGAGAGGCTCACAGCATTAACAACCCAACAGATATCGCTTCTCCATTAGTGACAGCTTTGGATCCAGCACAAATCAAGCAAGTCCAGCTTCTCGACTTGTTTTTCCGATGAGTTCACGCACCACTACCTTGGCTGTTGTCCTTCTAGCTACCAGACAGGCAGGAAGGAGAAAGGCCTACCCATTTGCCATATGGTGCACAGCAACTTCTTTGGTTATGCTACTCATGGTCCTTAAATGGCCAGCTAAGGCTATTGTCTTAAAATCACCTAGACAGGCTATAGTCAATCTATAAAAATGAATGTGTTGCCAGTAATGTTGTTTTTGTTTCAATCAATTATGGTGATCAACAAGACAGATTGTTTCAATGTATGGCAAAAAGATATTTCTAAATATATCTAGCAGGGGCGGGGGAGAACGAGAATAAAATATAAAATATTGAAAGATGTAAAAGACAGAGGAGGTTTCTCCCTGCTGGGTATGAGTTTATATTATGAAGCATTTTGCCCTTGATGGTTGAAGGAATGGATGACATTGGAGAATCCACATATCTTAGATTTAGAAGATCATGGTAATATTTTTGGTTGGCATGCCTATTTGTGGTATGAAAAGGTGAAAGTACATAAAGGATTTACAAATCACATAATTAGAGAATTTTTTTATAGAGTATGGGATAAATATAAAAGTTGGTTGGAGACAAAAATACCACTTTGATTCTCACCTTTGGAAGCCATAGCAGTAATGAAAAAGAATATAATAGAAGGTTGGACAACTTATAGAAAATTATTAAAACAAGGGGGAGGAGAGTATAAATTAAAAGGATTTAAGGATTTATCAGGAAAGCTAACAACATGGATACAATATCATCGTTTGAATGAAGTATTTAAGAAATATAAGATACAAGGGTTTGGGGAACAAATATCACAATTGGAGAGAGATCTGTTGTAATGTTAAAGTGCTGTCTGAAATCTATAAGATATTATTGGCATGGGAGACAAAGGATGAGCAAGTAAAATCTTCAATGATTCAATTTACAGCAAGCTATAGTTTAAGAGAAAACTACTGTTATAAACATGGTATCAAACACTGACTAAATTGTCAAAAATGTATAAAACAAAATCAAATATGTGTTGGAAATACAAAGAAAAAGATGGTATTTTTTATCATGTATGGTGGTCTTGTAGTAAGATTAAAGCTTACTGAGAAATGATTATAATGAATTGAAAAAGATGTTTAAAATAACATTTGTAAAAAAAACACACACACCCAAAAGCTTTACTTTTGGGAATTATAGGGGAAGAACTACCTAAACAGTATAGAAATGTATTCATGTATGCGACAACAGCGGCAATAATGTTATTTGCCCAGAAATGGAAAGAAGGAGAAGTCCCAATGAAAGAATATGGATACAAAACTTGTGGAATACAGTGGTACCTCTATTTCCGAACGTAATCTGTTCCAGAAGTCCGTTCAAGTTCTGAAACGTTCAAAAACTGAAAGCGGAAGCCTCAGAGTGGAAGCCTTAATATGGAAAACTCAAAATGGAAGCCGTATTACCTTTTCGACTTCTGAGGCGCATTCAAAAACGGAGGCATTTACTTCCGAGTTTTCGGTATTTGAGTTCTGAAACGTTCGACTACAGAGGCATTCGAAAACTGAGGTACCACTGTATGCAGAAATGGAGAAACTTACCAGAAAAAATAAGAAATCAAGATGACAAACTTTTATAACAGAATGGAAATGGTTTGTTGAATATTTTCAAACAAACTGTAAACAGATAAGGACATTGGCAGGATCATTGTAATAACCTACAGTTTCGTAAGAGCATATATTTAAAGTAGATGAAGAAAAGAATAAGTTAAGTTAATTTAGAATAAGCAGGAAATGTAAAAAATAAATTTAAGGAACCACAGAAAGAGGATGAAGTCAGTCAAGTTTTGAAATGTTAGAATGATTGTAAAACTAGTGAAATGTGTTTAACAGAAAATCATAAATAAATAAATAAATAAATAAATAAGTGAAATGAAATGAAATCACCTAGATAGAGGAACTGGTTAGGCGAACTGATTGTCATACTTTCTACCCCCACAGATACAGAAACCCAAGAATCAGAAGGGACTCAGGGCATTATTCAGGCTGACGCACACGAACACCACAAACTCACATAATAATAATTAATTTCCCCTTCCCTAATGCAATAGCACATCTGTGCAAAAAATTAGTTGCTGTTTTTTTAAAAAAGTGCACCCTTAACACACAGTTCGTGGATTGACATTTTGATGTACTGATTAAAATAGGGCCTTATGGATTAATCAACTGAACCAGTTAAAGCTTGCAAATGCAGAAAAAGCTTATGTTCACAATTTCATGGTATGGTTTCCTTTTTACTGCAACAGCAGCATAAATACTTTAAAACTGTGAGTAAATAATCTATTGCAGTGTCAAGCCTTGTAAGTAATGGAGCTGATATCCATTCCATATTTTTTGTGATTTTAAAATGCCAGGGTAGCAAGTCACCTAATTATTATTTCTGATTTACCTATCTCTTGACAGAGCTGTAGCATGCAAATGTGCTCTCTCTAGTTTTCTTTCTTTCTTTCTGTGTAACATTTGGGAAATGTGATGGAATATGCATAATTAAGCCTGACTTCCTATCACAGTTTGTTACCATCAAAGGTTTCCATAAGAGATGCATCCAGTAATAGAGTGAAGTAACTATTTACACTGCCTTACGTTACATGACTATCGATGTTAAAGTCATATGATAATAAGAAACTGTATCATTTCCTCTGTCTAATACCATTTTATGCCCCATACCTCTTCTGGGATAGAGAGCTCTTTTCTATCACAGTCTATCAGCTCAACACACAGTGATAATAAATATGTGAAAACTCTTCATGGTATGTGATGCAGGCAGGTCAGTGGATAACCATTCCAAGTAACTTCTGCAACCAGTGTCCAGCAAACCATCTTGCACAGGTACTCAGCCATTGATGCAGCCAGGTCAACCTCATAACTCCCAAAGCTGATTGGCTTAGGATGTGAGTAAGCAACTGACTGTTTACCTGCTTCTTCACATTGTAGGATATCATACTCAAACAGCCATGTTGGCAAAGAGTGAAGGTGTAAGTGGCAGTCAGCTGTTTCATCATTCATTCATTCATTTTCCCTCCCATCTGACTCGGTTGCCCCAGCCACTCTGGGCAGCTTCCAACATAACAAAAATGTTGCACACACACTCAGTCTCCAAGTGGATTCTAGGCACTTACCCAGCATTCATGTTTCCTTTGAAGTGAAGTTCAGCAGAGACTGTGGTGTCTTTATGATATATGGTTTATTTATACATATATACAACCTGAGCCTACAACAGAGGGGCACGCAGCATTAATACCTCAAGATGGCCCTGTCCCCCCCCCCCCCGTAGCTGCAGCCTTGGATTCAAACTGAAATCAAATACCTCTGTGGCTCTCTCTAGCTTACCTGTCTGCAGGTTTGCTTCATCTAGCTTCTAGTTCACATCATTCAGCTCTCTAGCCTCCTTCCTTCTAACTGCCCGCATGTTGATGGAGGGTTCCCCACCCATCTGCCATCTTGCACAGAGCCCCTTCCTTTGTTCCACTTTATGGCCCATCACCCAGGCTGTCACCTCATCAGGAAGCTAGCCTGGCTGTTCTAAGAATTTGAAGGGGGCCCAGGCATTCAGCCTACCTCCCACAAAAGGCTTAATACAGTGGATGCTCGGGTTGCGAACGTGATCCGGGCAGGAGGCACGTTCGCAACCTGCAGCATTTGCAACCTGTGACCCGCGTATCTGCGCACGCACGGGTCGCGATTTGGTGCTTCTGCGCATGCGCAAAGCGTGATTTAGCACTTATGCACAAGCGCCAAAACTCGGAAGTAACCGTTCCGGTACTTCCGGGTTCAGTGCAGTGTGCAACCCAAAATCACGCAACCCGAAGCATCTGTAACCTGAGGTATGACTGTAACAATAGTAAGGGTTTGAACAACAGACACACTGCAATGCTGTTTTGACTCCAGTTTCTTTTCACATTGCATCTGTGCTTCTTCGTTAATGAATTTTAATTTGTTTTTATTTCTTGTAAGCTGCACTAAGAGCTACAGTATAACGTGGCTTTTTAATGTAGTATAATAAAATAACTAAATGCATACATACACTTAGGCATTTTTTGGCAGTAATATGAGAGCAGCAGCTGTATCACTTGATGGTTCAAAATTTAAAAAGATTGGTAATATTAATATGCCCACTTTGCCCTATGAAGAGTGGTTAACACAGAAAGTGCTTAACCCAAATGTTGGAAAGATGGATTTTCAAAAGGGTATTGTTGAAGCTATATTGGACTAGAATCAGATTTTTAAAATAGGCTTCTTTTGTCTTTTCAGTTTTGACCTAGTGGCTGTTGGGGGCATCTCAGTCACCTTGGTCTTTGAGAGATCTCCTTTTCTTTCTGTGAAAAGGACACTTTGGCTGTCCTGGAATCGGTTTATTGTGATAGACAAAGTAGTCATGCAAAGAGCAGAAGTGGACCCACCATCCTGTGACATCAGTAACTTTGTGAGCCCCAATCCCATTGTCCTCCCTTTTCCTCTCACATCGTTCGGAGGATCGTGTCCAGAAAGGGGGACAATTATACCAGAACTACAGGTAAGAACAAATGCTGATGGTGTAATATCACTGCTGGAATGACAATAAATAGTTGGTTATCTATTAGGATGGGGACCCCTGTTTGTGTTAAAGCATGGATAATTTAATTGCCCTTTAGCTATGTTAGATTTGATTTGCTAAAATGAAGAACTGATTATTTTGCTTTTTTATGTAAGTCAGTGGTTCCCAACCTTTTTAGTTCTGAGAAACTGACCTAAATGGCAGTCACAAAATAACATAACACTAAATTAAATTAAAATATGCCATTATTATTCCCCTGTTGCTGGTGAGTAAGTGTGGATTATGCCAGCCTAGCATAACCCAGTATTGTTATACCCATTTTCCTGAGGGTGAGCAACCAGAGTTTTTAAAAATATGACAACCCTCGAGTGTGTAGTCCAGTCTTGCTATCCTGTGTATTGGATTTTTAGGGAAATGATGAGGGTTAAGGAGAGAAGCTTGTGGAGCTGATTATTGCAGCAGTGCAATTAATTAAGGAGTGAAGGGAGCTACGGAAAGAATTGATGGTTTCATTTGTGAATGGAAGGATAGGAACTGCAGATCCACACATTGGGAAACAACAGAAGGATGATTTCAAGTTTCTTAGAGTTTTCTCTGATGTGATTTTCTGTGACATTTACACACCCAACTGTTTTTCAGGTGGTCCAGGAGGAAATCCCCATCCCTTCCAGCTTTACAAAGCTCAGCTACCTGAGCAGCCGAACTTCAGGATACAAAACCTTGCTACGCATTGTGATGACACATTCTACCATCCCTCCTGGAATGACAAAAGTGCATCTTACTGTTACAATTGAAGGGCGGCTGGCTCAGAAATGGTTCCCTGCTGTCACCAACTTGGTCTATACCTTTGCTTGGAATAAGACAGATATCTACGGCCAAAAAGTCTCTGGCTTGGCAGAAGCAATGGGTATGCCTTTTAACAACAACGACAATTAATTAACTATTGATTTATTGCATGGGCATCAGCCATTTTATTTATTATGTATGAATTCCAAGAAGCCTTTTGAATGATCATCTTTCCCTGGCTGCATCTGCAATAGAAATGTTCTTAAGTTTTTATGTTTTAGATATTATTATTATTATTATTATTAACCTTAAAATGCATTCCTCTAAGGAGCTCAAGGCAGTGTATATGGTTCTTTTGCCCATCCATTTTATCCTCACAACAATCCTGTGTGGTAGGGTTAGGCTGAGAGATAATGACTGGCTCATAGACATCCAATGTGCTTCAAGTCTCAGCAGTAGTCATTTAAAAATGTTGCTACTTAATCCAAATCAAATGGTGTGTGTCTGTTTTCCTGTTCTTGTGAGCAGATGCACAATTAAAGATGTATATTTCCTGGTCAGTTTCAGCAACACACCTTCTAAAAGCAAATTCAGGTGGTTTGTGAGTGCCTTGAATATTGGAGCCAAAATACGGCCACGGAACATGAGAGAGGGAGGTCTTGGCATTATTACAAGAACCCTGAAGTTTGCAGACGTACAAACATAGTTGTTGAAAATAACTAACAAGACAAGCTGACTCCTCCAAACAACCTTGTAAGGACTGAGCATGTTCAAGTGCCAGGCCATGTGGAACGTCAAGGGAATGGCTGTAACACATTCATAGTGCATCTGCTTTGTGTCTCCCAGGTACAATCCTTGGCGTCTCCACCTAGGCCTGGGAATATCCCCTCTCTGATACTACATGGAACAAAACCTATGTTCCCAATGTCATTCTGAAAATAAAATGGAAAGCTCAGTGTGTGGGCAGAGTAAAATGCAGGTTACACAATCCTCAAGGAGAATATGGTTGTCTGGCAGGAACCATGGACAGGGGACTTCTGGTCTGCAAGCCTTAATTATGCCTGTCATAATTACGTTGCTCCATCCAAACTACACCCACCTGCCTTACACATATGATGTCTGGTGAGAGGAGGGAAAGGTGGGTCTTGGATGAAAGTGCTTTGCAGGCACCACCGCTGCCCGCAAGACCCTTGCATAAGGCTTCTCAAGAGTAGATAATCAGCGGATGAAAAGTAGTTGGGAAGTGCTGAGGACAGAACTTTGTGAGCACTGACGATCAGTTGGTTGTTGGTGCTTCACAGACTGTTTTGCTTGCATGATTTGATGTCAAACCACATGAGCAAATGCAGGTCACCTGTTCTCAATTGTGACATTAGGAAATTGACTGGTAGGCACCGGTAGTCTCAAATTGAGACTGCAAGGTGGGAGGTGGAATCAGAGGATTGTAGAGTTGGAAGGAGCTTTCACTGCCACATCCATTCCCTGACGCTTGTGCTAGATACACCTCAACATTTTGTTGCAGGTCTCACTTGTTTTCTCTAATAGCAAACTCAAGAGCTTTAAGCACCTAGCCATCTGGAAAGAAAACAGAGCCACCAAAAACAAGCAGCGGTTTCTGCATCCTTGAGGACCTCCTAATTTATGCAGAGATTTATAGGGCTGTAATTTTGTTTTAAAGGTTTTTAAAATGGCCTGGCAAAGATCTTTGAGCTTCCAGCCTTACAAAATGCTACCAGTAGTTGAGCTTAGAGAAAATAGGGTCTAATGGGATGTGATGATGTCATGAAAGCCTTTTAGAACTGGCTACATGGTACCCATCAGTGAGCACAAAGGAAGCACAAATTACTCTCACTCTTAAGCATTGACACAGTTGTAATTTTGCCAAAATGTGCACTGGTGTGTGCATTACATGATTCCCATTGAGAACGATATAATGTGCATAGAAAATATATCTATTTGGATGCACATTATGAATACATCCTGGCCAACGCTTCCTGTTTTCCTGCACTGCAAGTATGTCTGTTTGTGCCCTTTGGGAAACCTTTGGAAAGGGGCGGGGGGAGCTTGGTTCCGTTTGTTTTCTGGTTTATGAGGAAAAATCTCTGGCTGCCTAAACATAAAGGGAAGACAGGACACCAGGGAGGATGGAAGCCCTGTACTTCACTATTCTATCTTAATTCCTGCCAAAAGGAGTCGTTCCTCATCCTGTCCTGGCTTGAGTGACCATCCCCTCTTGCTCTAGAGCAGGGATGTGGAACCTCATGCCCTCCTCGCCTTTGGCCCTTCTTGCCTTTTGTTCTGGCCCTTGGAATTCTTCCCAAACTGCACACCCCGCTGACCCTGTTTCACAAGCTGTGTGGTTTTGTCTGGCTGGGATGTGTTCTCGAGGTCTGACAAGGCCTCTTGCTTGACTGAACAGAGGATAGAGAGGGGTGCGTTGAACAGGCGAGTAGAAATCAACCTGTTGTACAATGGTAAAGTTTGCATTCCTTGTACAATACTAGTGCCTGGATGGAGACTAGAGAGGAGCAAGAATGAGTAAACATTACATCAGTTGCCCCACACTTTTTGTCTCTGGCTCTAACCACCACTGTCATGTGGCCCTCAGAAAGTTGCCCAGAAGGGAATGTCAAGAAATTAAGCCTTTAGTGCCAAGGGCCTAGTCCTGCAGAACACCTTGCCAGTGGAGATTCAGCAGGCACCTTCTGTGCCAGCTTATAAATGCCTCCTGAAAACTTTTCTGTTCTGCCAGGCAATAAAGAGTACACCCCACAGAGTAGTAGTTTACTGATGTTTGTTTTTAATTTCTTTTTACTTTCAACTTGTTTTAAAGTCTTTATTATTTTCTTGTTTGATTTTATGTTTTTTATATTGTTGTAAACTGCTGTGATATATCTTTATGGTACAGTGGTATATAGTAAAGTGGTATCTCAGGTTAAGAACTTAATTCGTTCCGGAGGTCCGTTCTTAACCTGAAACTGTTCTTAACCTGAAGCACCACTTTAGCTAATGGGGCCTCCTGCTGCCACTGCGCCGCCGGAGCACGATTTCTGTTCTCATCCTGAAGCAAAGTTCTTAACCTGAGGTACTATTTCTGGGTTAGCGGAGTCTGTAACCTGAAGCGTATGTAACCTGAAGCGTATGTAATCAGAGGTACCACTGTACATATTTTTATAAATAAATAAAATGTGGCCCTTGGGCTGAAAAATATTCTCCACCATACAACATATTTAGAGTTCTTACCCTGCTAAGGTTCAATCTATTTTGGAAAGTAGATTTGAGCATCTTCCATTTGATGACTGTCATGTATGCGTGTGGCATGGTAAAATTTGTGTACATTTTCTTACCTTTTCTTTAAAGTACCTCATTCATATATTTGTCAGGCGTATTTGTTTCCCAAAAGTACCATGAGTTTGCAAGGTATTGTTTTTGTTTGTTATTATGGTACAGATTTTTGTGTTTCGATGTTGCAAACTGCCCTGTGATCTTCAGGTGAAGGACAGTATAAAAATTTAATAAATAATAGCAATAACAATTCCTGCTTCATGACAAAAAGTCAGGTACTATAGGATATCCATCATATACCCATCTGCCTTTCACAGCACTTCTGAAAAAGTCCAGGGTATTATCTTCCCTGCCCCCATAATTGACACCTCATCATGCTTAATCATTCTCTTTTTTATTATTCAAAGAAAGATTCATCATTAAGTTCCAGTAAAACTGATGAGTTGTGTGCAATAATTATACCATGATGCCAATATAATAGCAAATGGCATTGGAGCAGATTGAAATAGCAAATTTCATACAAAACATCCCCCCTCCCCCGCTACTCAAGTGCAATGGAGAAATCTTGACATCTTTTTTTGTGTGTGCCTTCCAGCAAGATATATTCTTTCAAAGTGATGGATTAGAGAGAGCAAGGTGAGAGGGCAGAGGGGATAGTGGCTCCCTGAAATAAATGAAACAAGAGGTCTGCTTGCCCCAGGTGTGATGGAGTGAGCCTGTGCATCCATTCCTATGCCCAACAGACAGCAGTTGTGACAGTGCTGCCCGTGGAAGCAGCATTTTTGCAGCACTGATGAATCACTGGAGGGACAGCAGGGTGAGCATCTGGGCTCAGACCAGGCATACCCTCCTGCCGTCTCTCAGAGCAGTGTCACAAGAACATTGTCCCTAGGAAACAGCACTGCTGTGACAATTTCAGGGCTGATAGGAATCAATGTGGGGGGGGGGGAGCCAAGCTCAGTGGCATACAGCACCTGTTTGGCATACAAAAAGACCCAGATTTTATCATTGGCATATCTAGATAAAAAGATTTCTGTTTTTCATTTTGTTTTCTTCCAGATTTCTGTTTAAGACCCTAGAAAGCCGCTGCTTTCATTGATTATTGCAATGTGCACTATGTGGTGCTGCCCTTGAAGACGACCCAGAAACCTTAATTGGTCCAAAATGCAGCAGCTACCAGATTTCTGGCTGGAGTTTCTTTTAGATCTCGTATAACCCCTGTTTTAAAACAGCTGCAACACTTTCCAGTTCTTTCCCAAGCCTGCTGTCTCAAGTGGTGTTTGTGATCTAATTATTGATAAAGTACAGGTGAAATAAGAAATACCTGTTTTAAAAGCAAGTATATCTAAAATAATTATAGTGGCATAGGTATAACCTGGTATCTACAAGGGAGACAATCTTTCATTAAAAAGAAATGAAATGAGACTTGCTGCAGCATCAGACAAAATACTTGTCTGGTCCAGTGTCCTCTTCCCTACAGTAGCCAGATGCTTATGGGAAACCCACAAAAAGGGCATGGGGGCAATAGCCCTTTCCTCCAGTTGCTCCCCTGCAACCATTTTCAGAGGCAAGCCTCAGAGTCGGCTATTAGCATAATTTCTAACATTTAATATCGCCCAAAAGGCATTATGCAGAAATGCAATATTCAGGTACCTGAAAACTTCCCATACAGACTCTCTCAGGTGCTAAGATCAGTGGAGGGGGATCTCTTGATTGCTCCATCATCCTCAGAAGCTTGTGGGGGCTGGTCTGGGAGAGGGAACTTTCTCTTTGGCAGCTCCTAAGTTGTGGCACTCACCAAAGGTGTGTTTGGCACCTTATATCACCTTTGGTGAATGCTGAAGATGCACCTTATTACCCTGGCTTTTGACACTTGAGTTGTATATTTTCCAAACACACCTTAATTTTGGTGTTTTATGCTGTTTTTAATATTTTGTTTTAGAGTTGTAATCCACCCTGAGACCTTAGGGCAAAGAGCAGGTTAATAATAGGAAGAAGAAGAAGAAGAAGAAGAAGAAGAAGAAGAAGAAGAAGAAGAAGAAGAAGAAGAAGAAGAAGACTGACCCATTAAGGCATCTTCGCATCTTTCATAAATCTAGTTGATTTCAGCATTTTTATTCCTTCCTGGAATAAAAATACAATTTTTCTTTTCTTTTTCACCATCTCACGAGTTATAGCTTTCACGTACATGCCCCTGAAAGAAGCAGAGTGCTTATTTGCAACCTGAGTGGTTCCCTCCAGGAGCAGAGAGCAATTATGTCCTTTAGTTTTCAGGAATGTGTTCTTCTTTGCACATGTGCTCCTGAATCTCTGCAGGTGCCACATTAACAGCAGATACGCAGTGGTAGTCTTGGGATCTGCGATTATTTCGGCTCCAGCAGCAGCAATTTACTCTGCATTTCTTCATGATAATGGCATAGGAAAGAATTCTGGCAAGCCGAAAGCGACTTTCTGTTACTAAGACAAGTTTTGTGGTTTCTGTTGCTCCTGTTCACTGATGAGGTTTTCAGAAGAGTTGCCTGCTCCCCCCCCCCCCCGTAAGGTGGAGTGGATTTTCCCATTGCTTCCTAAGGATGTTATAAATACTGATGCCATTGTATTAGCTGCTAACTACTGCAGCCTCGATTTTCCTGGTCATTAAGAAATAGTCACACAAGAGATATGCTTACTAAGCTTTTTTAAGCACAGTGTATGTAAAACAAACTGCTTGTGCTGTTTATATAGGGGGTGTTATTGGGTTGTAGGGGGGTGTTATTGGGTTGCTGTTTTTATTTTGCGGTTTTATATTTTGATTTTATTCTGTGAACCGCCCTGAGACCTCCAAGTATAGGGTGGTATAATAATAATAATAATAATAATAATAATAATAATAATATATGCATAATATATGCTTTCCTCCACTGCACCTTTGCTGTTTATACATATTTGCTGATGTACTTCTAGAAAACCTGGATATAATTTATAGCAATGGTCTTTAGAATTCTGCTCTTTGTCTACAGAAAAGCCTATACAGTGGTACCTCGGTTTTCGAGCATCTCAGAAGCTGAACGTTTTGGTTTTCAAATGCCCCAAACCCAGAAGTAAATACTTCCCTTTTCAAATGCACCTCAGAAGTTGAGTGGCTTCCGTTGCATGTTTTTCCATTTTCTCCATTGAACTTGCAGCCAGCCCTTTGTGTCTTGGTTTTCAAACGCCTTGAAAGTTGAACAGTCTTCTGGAACGGATTGCGTTTGAGAACCAAGGTACCACTGTATTTCATTGGTGGGTGGGCATGACCCATGGAGATGGAGATTCACTATTGGTTGTAGATTTTGAAGGGTGCTTGATCAAGACACCCCCCATCCCAGAGCCCGTTCCCTCTGTCAGTCTACTTCAGGGATGAATTACCTCAGGTCCTTCAGGCCTGTCTGTCTGGTCCTTGGGACTGTCTCCAGACCACACACCCCTCAGTGACATCTTCCTGGAAAGTTTTTTGCCTGCCTGGAATATATCCTTGACCTCTGATTAATTCCTCTTGCTTATTTGGAGGGAGGAGAGGAGTGGGTGAATATGTGGAGAAACTACCCTATTGTACAATTAACGTTTGTTGCCCCATTAGCTTTTGCCTCTGTCCCCACCCACTGCTGGCATGTGCCCCTGGAAGTGAGTGTGGCCTATAGACTAGAAAATATTCCCCATCCTCAGTCTGCCTCCCTATTCACATTAGCGCTCAACTGTATGTGCACATTACTGTATTTTATGCTCAAGAACCACAGCATAAATGTTACCCCAACTGAACCTGAATCACATGCCTTACATTTTCTAATTTATGTTGTGCATAAATGTACTTATAGAAAAGTCAACTGATCTAATTTTTTTGTACAGTATATGCATAATATTTGTACATCTGCTCCTCCTCCTCTACCACATCATTGCTACCGCCTACTTATGCCTGCTAGGCAGAGAGCCCATCAGCAAGCAGGCGGTGGTTGCATCAGCTGCTGTTTCTCCTCCTCCACCACCACCATGGCATGAGCCAGAGTGAGAGGTGGATGAACAAGCAGGGTGCAATATGAAGAGGAGCAGGGTCAAGGGGACTCTTCTTAGCAGGTGCATTGCAGTTGCCCACCCATGGCGACCTTTGATTAAGATTTTGGGATTGCTTTGAGGGAGGGATAGGAGGGAGTTGCTCCATTGTGGAGAACAGAAGTGGTGGCTGTTGCCCAGAGCAGACAATGAGCGGACAATCCATTCTAGTTTTGTTTTGCTCAGTTCTACAAGGGCAGCAATGAGACACAGGCCACCATCACACAAATTCTTAGACTACCCACTGCAAGTGGAAGAGGGACTTTCCTAACAACAGTCAGCAACCTTAACGAACTACAGCTCCCAGAATGCTTTGGAGGAAGCCATTGATGTCTAAGGTGCTATCATAGCACTTTAAATGTATAGTGCGAATGTGACCTAAGGAAAAGGAAGCTGACAGGTGTAATAGGACTGCCTGGTTCATGGCTGTTGCTTTTAGTTCACTGTCAACAGCAGAATAAACCTGTGCTTGAACTTTGTCTCAGTGTCAGTCTCTTATCCTCCATTCCTGCTGCAGCCAGGCATTCTCAAACAGAAGGAAGGGTGACCATTGCTTATATTTTTGAAGACTGGAGGTGCCAAAAGGCCTCTAGTTGTCACAATTTCATTAATTAGTAAATCTAGTCTAGGTAATCATGTACCATGTCATCAAGATCCTCCTAAGGTCCGTTTTTTACAAATAGCAGATGAGATGGAACTCTCCAGTATCTGGACTGCACTGCTTTCAACTGTAGGCCAGGGGGGCATGTGTATGTATGTATGTATTTTTCTAAGTTCCAAACTGCTTAGAAAAAAAAGAATCTCCACACAGTATAGAGATTCAGTTATATATCAAAAATTATATTGACAAAAATACAAAAAGCAATTGAATACATAAATACATAAAACCATAATCAAAAGCAAAAGCAAAGATAAAACCAATAGCTCATTTAAAACAAATGTAATTATATAATGTGTCTGAATGGGGCTGCTGAAACAGAAACGTTTAAGTAGGCAGATAAAACAATATAGTGAAGGTGCCAGCGTAATGTCAATAGGCAAGGTGTTCCAGGTAATGCCACTGTAAAGGAATGACTTGCAAAGGCAGGATGAACATTGTGTGGCACTTGTAAAAGTACAGTGGTGCCTCGCAAGATGAAATTAATCCGTTCCGCGAGAGTCTTCGTCTAGCGGTTTTTTCGTCTTGCGAAGCAAGCCCATTGACGGATTAGCGCTATTAGCGCTATTAGCGGTTTAGCGGCTATTAAAGGCTTAAAGGCTTAGGGGATTAGCTGCTAAAAGGCTATTAAAGGCTATTAAAGGCTTAGCAGATTAGATAAAGGGGGGGAAAAGCGAAAAAAAAAAATCAAGACTCGCAAGACATTTTCGTCTTGCGAAGCAAGCCCATAGGGGAATTCGTCCTGCGAAGCAACTCCAAAACGGAGAACCCTTTCGTCTAGCGGTTTTTCCGTCTTGCGAGGCATTCGTCTTGCGGGGCACCACTGTACATGTTCCACAGATCAGAGTGACTGAATGTGAATGTATGGGATGGGGCAATCCCTTAAGTAATATGGTTCCAAGCCAGCCAAGGCTTTGTATAACTGAATTCTCTACATAAAAAATAAATAAACCCTTGCACACAGAAAAGTAGATGGCAGGGAAAGTAATCCAAATGCAAGACTGGTTGTTGGTGACACAGGAACATTCTGCTGTCTGAAGTGCAGCTGTCCCCACATTAATTACCTTCTCTGTTGCTTATGAGTCCAGGTTTGGGGGTGGGGGCAGGGGTGGTTGGCAAAATGCATTTTGATGGAACCCCTGCTGAATGAGTAGGACTCCTTTGTCTTGCCTTGTGGTAGCATCAGGTGGCAGTAGTCCCAGGTAGCTCCAGGGGACTGCCTTGGAAGCTGCCATTTCACCATTCAGCTTCCAACATAGCCTCACTCTGGGACATTATGGGAAATTAAAATAGCAGCTCCAAGACAATGGGAATGATGGGAATTGTAGGCCTACAACATCTGGAGGGCCACAGGTGCTCCATCACTTAAACAGTGCAGGATTAACTACTCATCATTTAATCTTACAATTACCATGGAAAATGGGAAGAAAGACAGTCTATAATGTATTGTTCTTTATCTCTTTTCAGTGTCAGTGGGTTATGAGTATGAAACTTGTCCAAATCTGATTCTGTGGGAGAAAAGGACTGTAACGCTGCAAGGATTTGAGTTGGATGCTTCAAATCTTGGAGGCTGGTCCTTGGACAAACACCACATTTTGAATACACAAAGTGGTAAGTCAGTTGGCTATGAATTAAGCAGCATGGAAAGGTTATTTCACCTCCCCTCCCTGCAAAATAGAAAATTACTAATGGTAATAACATTCCTAACTTCAGAGGGTATTATGTCTGGTCAGAAACGTCTGCTGAATCCTTCTTTGGTTTTCCAGCTCACCAGCAGAATCATAGATGTATAGAGTTGGAAGGGAACCAACTTTTCCAACCCTTTGCATAATAGATGCTATTTAGTTCAGGCATTGACTACTGCATCACTGATAGATGGCCATCCAGACTCTGATTAAATACCTACCTCCAGCAAAGGAGAGCACACCACTTCCTCCTGATATAGAGGGCTGCACTGTTGGACTGTTCTTAACATTCTTGTGTTCTTCTGGATACAGTTAAGGCTCTCACCGTCCTTCTAATATGCAGTACAACTAGGTAATATGTGGAATACCAACAGAGTAGCCCTATTTATCTGAAAGTCTCATTGCTGGAAGTGACTAGAAGTTTGCTGAGCCAGAATGGAAAGTTTCTGTAGGCTACTATTCCAAGGTCACAGCAGATGAAGTGAGGAAGACCTTTATGGGATAATAGAATATGTGCATCTACTATGGTCATAAATTGTTCCAAATAGAGCATCACTTTAATTACAGGGGTAATTAAGGAGGGGATTTTCCCTATTTTCTTGCAACATCACCCATCCCTACCCCCCTCTACTGATTTTATAGGCTACAGGGGAGCCATGCTTGAGATTCAGAATTGTCAGGAGATAAGGCTAGTGGATTTTATTAAGGGATTTCTCCTCAGCTTCCTCCAATAATCTGAGCACTAGTAGGATGAAGCAAAGCGTGTACTCTCAAACTTCATTAGCTGAAAGGTCAAAAAATAATGTACCACTTGATCTCAGCTAAACTCTCCAGAGCAGGTTCTCATCAGTTTGAGCCACTGAATATATATATATATATATATATATATATGGTGAGTGTTCAACCTTTAAAAAAAACCCAAAAAAATCTGCGGTTCAGGCCACAATGTGACGTGTGGGGAATTGAAAGGCATGCAGATTTGAGTGACTTTTCATTCATGAACTTTTTCAAAAGTTTGCAGCTATTAATTATACTAGAGAATTTGTTCTGCTGGAATGCATTTGCTAGGGCAAGATGGTAAGAAATGTCATTCTGCACTGCAATGATAATAATAATAGCATCAGAAATACTATAACAGGGACACAAGCCTTTCCCTCCACCCCTATTCAAACACAGTTCTCTCAGCTTCTTAGCTGCATCTTCCTGGCAGTTATGATCCCAAAAATCCTTTCCCAACATTCCCTATGATGATCATCATTCATTTATTAATGCATCTCTGTCCACACACATGCAAACCACTTTTAACTAAAATCAAATTTAAATTCTGCTGATTCTCATGTGCAAGCTTTGGGTGGGTTCAGCTAGGTTTATTGAATTTATGTATCTTTTCCTGCTAAAAAAAAAGTTTCCAAGTACCGGTAATATACAGCCAAATAAAAAATGCAGCTACATAAACATGTTAAAAACAGACTTCACAGTGCAATCATATTATTGATTCTGCCCAATTCTTGGGAAAGCAAAACATGTTTGCCCAGTGCAAAAATGATGATGGAGTTGGTGCCAGGCAGGCCTTCTTGGGAAGAACAATCCACAAGCAGGAGGCTGCTACAGGGAAGACCTGTTCTCTCATCACCATCCTCTGGACCTGTCTTGAAGGTTGCACTCAAAGAAGGACCCTGAATGAGAAGCCCAGGGTCTCAGCACCAGGGTCTGAGCCACAAAAGGTTTTTTAAAAGTCAAAGCACTTTGAATCGTGCCGAGAAACAAATCAGGCCAGAATCAGTGGTCTATACTCACTCCTCGGAGTGAATTAACAATCTATCAGCTGCATTCTATACTAGCTGTAGTTTCTGAATCATCTTCAAACTCAGCCCAACATAAATTAAATTGTAGCAGTTGGACCTGGAGGTAATCCAAGCATGCACAACTGAAGCCAGGCTATCCCTATCCTGTTGAGCTACCAGCCAAAGCTGGTATAAGGCACTCTATGCCACTTAAAATACTTACATATAGTGGATGGAAAGGGAAATGAAGTAGGTTAAACAGACCCTGAGCTGAACTGAGCAGCCTGTGAAACACCTCAGACAGAGGCAGACTGCTTTCCAAAGCACAGAGTTGAGATCTGAAGTGAATCTTGTGGTTGGTGTGCATCTATAATAGCTGTTGTTATCTGCTTATTCCAAGAATCATTTGTATATTTTTTTAATTAAAAAATCCATCTAGGTCAGAATCCAAATTCTAAAAGACAAGTGAATTAGTTAGTTAGTTGTGTATTTATATTCACGACTTTGGGGGGGGGGGACTCAAGGCAGCTTGCAGATCGGAGGTAGGAAATCACAGTTAGAAGTAGATCACAATTTATTGGCCAAATGCAAGGACAAAAATACAGTTTTGCAAAGTCATCAGATAATAGTTGAAGAAGCCTTTTAAAGAACTGTGAGTCGCTAGTGAATCAGAAAATCTTACCATTCCAATAATCACAAAGCTAACTTTTCTGTTAAGTGTTCTGGCAAGGCTAGCATATCTGTCAATATATTACAGGAAGGCTCCTCACATCCCTATTGTTGGAGCAAGTATGTAAAAGCTTAAATTTGTGGTGAGAAGTAAAATGAATACCCTCACGCAACAATGTGGATTTTCTGTGATGTTCTGTGTGCCCAACTCGGGCTAAGTCTCAGATCAAAAAGCAGCTTTTCAGCTAAGAAATTCAACGTGATCTGGCTGCAGAGGTTCAAAATTCTCCCTTTTGGTGGGCATGATAAAAGAATTAATACCATTTTAAGGATAATCTAGTGGATCTAAGGGTTTTCTGTGCAAAGCATTGTCCAGGCAGGGCTTTAATACCAAACTACCCAAGACAGAGAAGATCAGATCTCCCAAAACATCTATTTTTAGCAGAAAGCCGCTGGGTGGGGGGGGCACCAATATTTGATTGAAGCAGCAGTGCTGGGAGACAAGATGTTTAAACCTTTTCCCCAGCACTGTTTGCAGAATGTAAATTTCCTATTATCCCCGCTGGGGAGAAAAATACATGTTACTTTTATTGTCCCTGTATTTGGTTCCCTAGCAGGGCTAATATCAGCTTCAGGGTTGGGGGAGTGGGATTTTGATTGGGGGAACTAAATAGGGAGGGAGAGGTTCAAGGTTAAACACCACCCTTCACTAGTCCTGCTGTTCTGACTAAAATCAGCTGCTTAATCCCCTTCCATTGTAAAATACAAAAATGGAACTTCTGTGGTACATTTGTCTTGTCTCATAGATTACATTCTGGGTTGCTGTCCTGGTCAATTAAGGTCCTTGGTTCATACGTAGTGGGGGATCCTCATAATACTAGCCAGGGTCTCAGCAGTGAAGTCAGCATGTGGCAGGAGTAGGGAGAGGAGGAATTAGAGGAGGAGCACGCATTCACGTCAGTGGAGGCTGGTCCATTATTATGAAAGAAGCACTGCTGCACCTACCTCAGTCTGCTTCCTAGGAGCAACACATCCTATTTCACCACTTGAGGTGAAACAGGATGTGCCAGCCTGCCCTGACTCAGGCTTCAACTACTGTTGGGCTTCTTGCCTTCTACCCTACCAGTCTCAGTGAGCACCAGCTACCCTGGATTCACAGCTTCAGAAAGAAGTCTGTAATGATTGCCTGAATGGACTATTATCTCCAAGGCAGACACCAGACATTTTGCTGCCTGAAATGGATCCGCAGGTGGCTCCCCTTCCCTTGCAATCGAGTAAAATAATAACCATGTCCTGCAAAACTTATTTTGGCACCTGAGGCAGAAAATTTCACAAGCACCTCAACCCCTTTCCTGTCAGTAAAACTGCAATAATAGTAAATTAAATAAATAACACTTAGTTGCCATATCATGACACCCAAACTCAGCTGCCTAAGACAAACACCTTGCCCTTCCCAATGATAGGGCTGGCCCCAGTTTTATTCATGGAAAGAGTTTAGTAGCTGAGTCATTTAGAAATGGGAGGTCTCAGTGTTTTTTTCTATAAAAAAAAAAAGTTTAAGGATACTCTCATTTTGACTCAAGAAAATCACCATTTTATAGTTCAGATTGGGGAAAATAAATACAGTAAATGGACAAAAGTACAAAGATTCACAAAATGTTTAGGGGTATGTGTACCCCTGCGTCCCTCCTGAAAAAAGCACTGGAAAGCCTACTTTTTGAGCTGGTATTCAGATTTCATAGATAAGGTGGCAAGGGCTGGGAATTTTTCAACTATAATTTTTAATATAATGAGATTTTTTGCATTTTCTGATGGTGTTGGATCACATGCGCACCCACCCACCTCTTCATTACCTGCCTGAGACCTTTGAGATGGGTTAGGCTATGAATCTTAATGGAACAAGTACAGTCCTTTCTAATTTGTCATTTTTTTGAATTTACAGATACAGTAAAACTCTGGCTTCATCCTAGGGAACCTGTTTAGTGAAAGCATTGACTATTATTTGAGCATGTCAAAAATAACTATTTTGATTTGTGCTTTAAAGCACAAAGGTGTTTGGGGGGTTATTGTACCTTGCTTGTCTTTATGACACACTATTAAACCAAAGCTCCTTTCTCTTATTGTTAGCCATAAACAAAGTATTTGCACGTAGACGTTATTTCAAGAGAAGCAGGGTCTCTGGGGTCCTAATTATATATTGTTACTTGTGGGAGAAAGATGAAGGATTGCCTTTACATATTTAGCCATAGACAGAGGCCAACTGCTCCTGTCATTTCAGTGGATTTTAACTGCCAAGGGAGAAGGCGTCTATGTGCATTAAGAATCCTGGCACATTGCCAATTTGCTCTTCCAAATGCACCCAAAAATCCAAAGAGAAATAAAGCAAGCTTGTCCCTTGTTGTTCATAAAACATTGCTTCTTTCTTTCTTTCTTTCTTTCTTTCTTTCTTTCTTTCTTTCTTTCTTGAAATCTCTGGATTCAAGTTTAAGAACTACAGCTAGTTATCTTCAAGAGAAATCTGGGGGAGGTTTTTGTGTCTTGTTTTTCATTTATTTTCATATATATTTATATACTGAAAAAACAGCATCCAGAATGTGGAGTTGAACATCCTATAGAACTCTGGTGTGCTTTACAAAGAATTTTAGAAGCTCTTCTCACCATTTTCAGTTAAGGCTCTTCATTTATTTGTAGTATCCTCCTTGTTCTCAAATCTCCCACGGATCAGAGCAGTCAGTTTATGAGTACTCTCAGAGACCCCAAACCTCATATTTCCTTCAAAGAGGTCCTGGCGAGCCCTTGGTTTCTAATATAGGAGGGTTAAGACATCATGGGTTTGCAGGGAAAATTTCCTTCTCCATTTCCTCCTCCCTCAAGACCTGTTCCTGAAAGGAGTTTACTTTCCTAGCTTGCTTCTGGTTGGTGTTCTTAAAGATGTTAGCCAAAATGAGGAGGTATTATTATTATTATTATTATTAACCTGCCCTTCACCCTAATGTCCTAGGGTAGGTAACAGCATAAAACACAATATTAAAAACAGATTAAAACACAATCATAAAAAGCAGGTCGGTCCTTAAAAATATACATGTCAATAGCCAGAAAACAGAAGTGTGTCTTCAGCATTCTCTGGAAGTTGTGTAATGAAGGTGCAAGACACACCTCTGGGGGCTGCCACTGCCCCCTTCCCCCAAAAAAGCTCTAAGGGACGAGGAAGTACCAAGAGGGTCCCCTCCACCAATCTCAGCACCCAAGAGGTTCTATAGGGAAGGAGGCAGTCTGTTCAATATTCGAGCACCCTCTTTTTAACTGCAAAAAGGTTCCCCAGACCAATAGATAATAAAATGGTCCTTGTCCTCAGAATTTGAAAGAAAAAACACAGAATGAAAGGGGATGGGGGAGAGAAGGAAGAAAGGAAACTTTGGCACTGGCTATTAGTTACAAAAATCATTTCTTAGTTTTAAAAAATCTGGCAAGGAGAGTGGAAGCAGGCTCCTTAGAGCTGCAGCCTCTCTGGTTGACTGATGAGGCTAGATTGGTCTCTTCCTTGGAATGATGTTATTCTATGAGGGACACATTGCTCATCCTTGAAAAAACAAAATTAATACACTCCTTCTGAAATCCATCACAGTATCTTTTCACATTATTTATCAAGCTCAACATGCACTAAAATAAGTGGGTTTTTTCTTATCCTTTTGATTCAGGGCCACTTGTACCTTCTAGAGACCTTTAGAACATTTTTCAGTAGTATCTAAGTAGTATCTAAGGGTGAAAATAAACATATATGTGGCCTTACATTGTTTAATTACACCACGGTGCAGTTCTTAAGAAGGCATGATTCACGTTGTTGTAAAGGTTATAATGAGATGGAGAAATGTGAAGCACAGCTATTCAAAGTTTAAAGAATTTTGAGCAACAAGATCATTAGGATCTTCCAAGATTTTGCATGTGTCTCATTTTATAAATATTTACCAGTGAAAGCTATTTTAACAAATTTTATAGGTAGGATCATATTAATATACTGCAAATAAAAAGCTTACATTGTGTTCAATGTGAACAGAACTGGACAAAATACTATGCGCAATGGCATGTGCTTATTATGTGCTTGTGTTTTTAAACCAGGTATTGTCCATAAAGGAAATGGAGAGAATATATTCATCTCCCAGCAGCCCCCAGTAATCTCAACTGTCATGGGCAATGGGCACCAGAGGAGTGTTTCCTGTGCCAACTGCAATGGTCCATCTCACAGCAGTAAACTCTTTGCACCTGTCGCCTTGGCCTCTGGTACTGATGGCAGCATATACATTGGAGACTTCAATTTTGTTCGGCGGCTCCTTCCTTCAGGAAACTCTATTAGCATCCTTGAACTAAGGTAGGAAACTTCGGAGTGCTTAAAAAGAATTAATTCATATTGGAAAGCAAAGTTATAGAGAAACCACCACCCCAAAAAATGTGCTAGACTAATATCAATCAGCGGCAGACAGTGTGATGGGCAGAGGTGCATAGCTGACCTAGCTGGTGAGTTGCTGCCGGGTAGAATGAGGTTGTGGGGGGGGGGGAGGGGATGTGGTACAGGTGAAATGGGTTGACTGCCGGTGCATTTGCACCACACTGACCTCTCCACAGCCTCTCCCCCTCCAAGTAAGCGGCAGCAACTCACCAGCTAGGAGGTCAGGTAAGTGCCTCCGACCCATCACACTGTCCACTACTGATAGTAATATGTACAATATTTGCTTCATGGGTGCCGCTAAGGAATAGATGGGGTTTGCTTTGCCCCTCCTGTTTTTCAGATCACACATACTGTTAGATGTTAGCAGCTTCCGCATTTATGAGACTGTGACATTGCTTAGTGTGCATGCTGTGTATGCAGGTAGCGCTGAGCACTTCCCCTTTCCCTACATGCCCTGAAAGTGCTGAAGCCTTTTTGTTTGAATGTTCAATATTAACACTTCAAAAAGCCTCATGGAGAAATAAAACATAAGTGGATGATAAAATGGAAATAACGTAGGAAGGTATGAGAATGTGTTTTGGTGTGTGTGTGTGTGTTCCCTTACAGGGAGTGGTTGGGTTCTAATTTCTCAACAAACAGGAATTTCAAGGGAAATGACATGGGTCACCTTAGAAAAGTAGGATGGGTAGGAGGGACAGATAACGGTAAATGTACATTTTGCAAAGAAATAAAAAGGGACTTTATACATATATGGTGGAAGCAGAGAGGGTTTTTTGGGGGGGGGAATTCAGTAATATCAATCACAAATGAAATAAATGATTTGCGACTGTTTAAACAGTGTGAATCATTGATCAGCGACGCCAAGAAATCATAGTATTCAAATGCTGCATAATTTAACACTAGTGAGAATCATGCTCTCAAAAACATGGAAAAGTAGCCAGAAGGCAAGGAAGAGAGAATGTGTTGCAAGCTTATAGGAACAGATGGCAAATTGTGAAATTGACAATAATGTTTTTAAAATATAGAAATTACAAAGAAAAGAGTGGGAAGCTGGAGACCAGTAATGCAATATATTAAAAGATAACTTGGGAATGAAGAAATGGGGATAGACTGTCATGTAACGTTAGCACAGCTTTCTCTTACAATGCAAATGTATCTGTTGGCAGAGTCAGTATACTTCTGAACACCAGGTATTTGAAACCACAGGAGGGAGAGTGCTCTGGTCCTGTTCAGGCTTCCCAAAGGCGTCTCGTTGGCTCCTGTGAAAACAGAATGCTGGGCTAGATGGGCCATTGGCCTGATCCAGCAGGCTCTTCTTATGTTCTTATAGTAATTTTTGTTCCATTCAGGAACTTAATGTATGTGTGTCAAATGAGTGTAATAAATAAATCATATATTTAAAGAAAGGAAGGGACGTGGGTGGCGCTGTGGGTTAAACCACAGACCCTAGGACTTGCCGATCAGAAGGTTAGCGGTTCGAATCCCCGCGACGGGGTGAGCTCCCGTTGCTTGGTCCCTGCTCCTGCCAACCTAGCAGTTCGAAAGCACGTCAAAGTGCAAGTAGATATATAGGTACTGCTCTGGCAGGAAGGTAAATGGCATTTCTGTGCGCTGCTCAGGTTCGCCAGAAGCAGCTTAGTCATGGTGGCCACATGACCCGGAAGCTGTACGCCGGCTCCCTCGGCCAATAAAGCGAGATGAGCGCCGCAACCCCAGAGTCGGCCACAACTGGACCTAATGGTCAGGGGTCCCTTTACCTTTAAAGAAAAGAAAAAGGCACATAGAATTCCCATAGTCCATTCCTTCCACATTTTGCATTTCTGAATAGCTCCACAAAGGCTATTGCAGCCCAACCTTAGATGCCACAAACTCAAACCGTCAGTTCTTTCTCAGTTCAAACTTCAAAACTCCTTTTCCACCCACCACAGACCCTACTTTATAGGTAAAATGCCCATTGGGGGGGGGGGAGGGACAACTTTGAATCATTAGCTCCCACTCAGGAAACATAACCCTATAATCCCTGACTATTAGAGAGCAATCAGTTTAGCAAAGTATAGTTGCCCAACTGCTGTAATAATGCATTCTAATTTATCTGCCGAGAAAACATAATAGTTCAGGAAAGCGTGTTGAGAATTGGACCCAAGTCCCTGCATTAGCAATCATCATCATCATCCATCAAAAACTATACTAAAGGCTACCCCAGACTCTACCATAGGCAAACGCTTGCACCTGCGTTACAATGTAATGTTACCATGTTGCATCAGATATGGGCTTGTCCGCACATTGCTTTTCCTGCACCTAGAAGCAGAGCAAACGTCAGTCCATGGAAAACTCAATTTATGTTCATTCTGATTCAGTGGTAAGGATCAGGTTTTCCTGGAGGAAAGCAATGGGGCAAGAAGAAGTGTGGACATGCCCTAAGTTTTAAAATAATTCCCACGAAGCTACTAACATAAGTTTGACCAAACTGCGGTAGGCAGTGGAAGACAGGAGTGCCTGGCATGCTCTGGTCCATGGGGTCACGAAGAGTCGGACATGACTAAATGACTAAACAGCAACAACCTTCCTTAGGGCCACATGCCTGTGATGGGCAGGGCCAGAAGCAAAACTGGGTGGAACAACAAATGTAAATTTTACCTTTCGTATAGTAGCCTGGTTTTAAAACAAACATTCACAAGCCCTTCTCTGCTATCCAGAATAAGGCATTATTCGAATTCCAGGACATGCTGCAGCCAGATGAAAACACTCAGGCTTTGAAGCAGGACTAGTGAGGAAAGAGGATGTGATCTGGAGCCAGTTTTGAGGAGCAAACAGAGGACCACATTTGGCCCCTCAGGCCTGAGACCCACCCTCCACCCTGAATCTACACCCTCATAAAACAGCATCCTTTACTTCCTCCCCTCCATCTCCCACTGCCCAAACACATATTGTCTCATCATGTCATGTATGTCATATGGCTTCTATGGTCTGTATGGTAGTTAGCATACAACTTGATCTAAATAAACATTAATCAGCACCTTTTGCTACTTACTAACAATTTGTTTACTTTTCTAATCCACACTAATAATTTCTGTTTTACTTTCTTTTTTGTGTGGTACCCGCACGAATATGCCGTTGAAGGAACAGAGACACAAGACACAGGTAAGAAAACTGGGGAGGAGCAATAGGGTCTTTGCTAGGAATTTGGTTTCCAGATTCTGAATTAACACATAACTCTTTGTATATGGTTAGCTTTGTACAGAATATTTATAGAAACGTTACAAGTTTAGTATCCGGGCATTCCCCTTCATAATGGTTCCAGTTCAGGGGCTTATCTGGCCAAAAGATAGGATATAAATAAATGCATGAAAAATACAGCTTTTAATGGGGCACCCCTGATACACAAGACTTTACCAGGACACTTTCTCCATGTGATTGATCTACACTATAATAATGCCTTAATCTTACAGCAGAAGTGGAGAAGCCTTTCAGGCTGACGGCCACATTTTCTTGGGGGTAGACTTGTGGAAGCCGCATGCCAGTAGTGGTCAGAGCTGGAGGCAAGAAGTAGGCAGGGCAATGGCCAGTTTTCTATACACACCCACACATTGCTCTATCCCGACAAGCAAGAGGCATTACTCCAATTCAAGAACACATTCCAGCCAGGCATTAGCACTCAATAAGGCTTTGGGCTTGGCCCATGAGAGATATGGCCTGGGGTAAGGCCATAGCATGTGGGGTCCTGAGGAAGGACACTGCCTGTTAATAATAGCTAAATGTGCATTATGTGTTATCTACATGGACAATAGCTGGACAAATGATCCTTGTGTTGAATTTTTGACATGGTCCCGAGGTCTTCCTTTCTTAAGTGATCCAGACATCAGGAGTACTTGAGGAAACTTTATCAAAGAAAGGGGGAGGTGCTTATATTCCTGTATACATTTTATGTAGCACATGGTAGGAAATAGAGGAACGTGCATGTGTAGGCTACTAGCAGAAGCACCGCCTTGGACCAAAGATTGGGTGGGACCAGTGGTGCAGCGCAGGTTTCGGGAGGCAGCCTGGCCCAGCTCTGTGCAGCATCAAAGGCAGGCTTTTCCTGAGCATGAGAAAGTAAGCTCTTCTCAAGGAAGCTCAACATTCCAGAGTTTGGAAACTGGCCAGACACTTTTCATTTCAGAAGGCAATTGGGAAGGAATGCGATTTTCAATTGTTGTACTAGTTTGGCTGCAGATAAATTTCAACACATAAGTATCTACCTGCCTGTGTGTAGGGGCTGCATGCCATTACGGCATCTGTGCAACTGGGTGCCTCAGTTGCATGGATTCCCTCCCCCCCATACCAGCAGCTGCTTGCAAATTGAAATTTTTCAACATGTGGTTGTTGCAGGAAGAAGATGCAAAAGCGGAGGTAACGCTAAAAACATGGCCCCACTCTGCTGCCATCACAAATATAAACTACATATGAAAAAAATGTGAAAAGGTCTCTATATAGTTCATCATGTGAAGATGTGTTCTCAAAGCTTCTCAGCCTTGAAAGTTTGTGGTATGGAAAGAAAATCTGTTTCACCGCAGTCCTATGACTACTCAGAAGTAAGCTCCACTGAGTTCAATGAAACTTGCTCCCAAGTGTGTTTAGGACAGGAGTCACACTTGCTTGGGGGTAAGCTCCATCAAGTGTGACTTACTTCTGCCAACCTAGCAGTTCAAAAGCATACAAGCGTGAGTAGATAAATAGGTACCGCTGTGGCGGGAAGGTAAACAGCGTTTCCATGCACTCTGACACACATCACAGTGTCCCATTATGCCAGAAGTGATTTAGTCATTCTGGCCACATGACCCGGAAAGCTGTCTGTGGACAAACACCAGGTCCCTCAGCCTGAAGCAAGATGAGCTGCACACCCAATATTCTAGTTGTCCTTTACCTTTTACATGTACCTACTTCTGGGTAGACATGCATAGGATTGTAGGAAGGTGCCCACAGGATCATGGCTACCCCTCTAATTTGTTGGTAAGATTACAGCTTTGTTTTTGAAAAAGATAATAATCTAAAGGGTTACTATTGCCTTATTTTTGTTTGTGGTTTAAGTGCGTATTTTTAATTGAACCTCATTCTAGGGGCTTAAGTAAATGATGAGGCAAGGTAGAAATTTAATACATAAGTAAATACTCTTTTGTATCAAATTATCTTTGTTGCCGTTTGCAACCAAGGCTTAACATTAAAATGTCCTGCATGCATACAATTTGCTATAATAATATTTTCTATTTGCTTTTTTGTTTTTCAAAAGTGCATTAAGCCTTAAACTGAAAGAGGGAGGGTACATTTTTCCCCATATGCTATTTGTTAACAAAACGTTTAATTCTCTTCAGCAAGAGAATTTCCAAAGTGTGGTCATTATTTTTAAAAATTGCTTCTGTCCAATTCACAGTTAAGTTGCTTGTCAAATTGCTGCCCCCAAAAGTGATGCTGTGTATTGATTATAAGCAATAATTACTTATTTGCCAAACTGCATTGCATGTTCAGACCCAGAATCCTCCCCCCTAAATAAATTCACACTTCACTCAAATTTTGGTTTTGGCAGAATTTAGGCCACAACTTTATTGATTACAGAAAGTGACTAGCTCCCTGCCATGCAGGTAGGGCTGACCCAGGGTTCCAGCATAGGTCATCCAAGGGTGAACACCTGGATAAGTGGAAAGCCGGGAACAGGCTATCTCCGCCACCCAAATGTCCCCCTGGACCCAGCCACGGGCACAACCTCCTCTCGGGTTGACCAAACCATCAGGTCCCTGGATTCTTTTAACGGAATACCCTTCACATAGGGATGGCGAGAGCGTTCTCCCATCCCTATCACCTGAACCAGAGCCTATCCGCAACCTTACAAGTTGTGACGATTTGCTACGCAGCAGGCGAAACCCAAATGGCAACAGCCAATCAGCCAAGTGGGGAAAATTCCTGCCGTGCCCCTGTCCCAACGACAGATGACACACGGCGGCATTGCAAGGTCAAGCGCAAAGCCCTAAAAGTAGGGAGAGGTGGGCGGGTGTTTCGAATGCATGCACCGAAAGAGGAAGCTCTGGGTCACCTGCATGGGTATAAATAGGTCCCTCGAACCGTTTGGACTGTGTCCCATTGGCCAGATTACGCCCAGCTACGAGAGACCTACCAATCAGATGTTGTGGCTGACCAATCATACCCACCCACAACACAGGGTGTCGGTTTCCAGGTCTCACCGCAATACATGCCCTCTTTAAGGAAAGACCCGATTTGTCATAACTGGCTTAAATAAAGAGATGCATGGTGAACTGGAGATAACCTCTCTGAGGTAATTATGAGGGAAAGCTATTAAAAAATGCTATATACACAGTGTTACTGTAGCTTCTGAATTCATACCTACATTAGAAGGATATATATGTATTTTGGAGTCTGGTAAATTCTGCCCTCACTCCTACCCCGTCCAGGTAAGCTGCAGCAACACCTGTCTCAGGTGTGGCAGCTCTTTGACTAGGGATAGAAGAAGGCATCAGTCTCTGTTCCACCCCAAGTACATCACATGCAGTGCTATTTCTGTTCTGCTGCAGTTCGGCTTTGGGCAAAAACTACATTATTCGTCTTAGCTGTCCATTGTGTCAGAAATGTATGTAATTAATTATATTATTATGCTTTATTATGTTATTTTTGTTCTGGATATGGGATGAATAAGCGAACATTGGTAATTCCCACTGAAAGTCTATGACATTCCTATATTTGACACTGCCCCACCACACAGGCTGCTATTGGGAGGAGTGTACAATTTTTGGACAACCAATGCAGCCATACCTGGCTGTCTTAATTGGCTTTCTGATAGGATTAATCTGATGGAATCAAGCTAGTAATTTCTAAGGTCATTAGTGATGCTGGGAGCAGGGGCTACAAGTGCATGGAATCTAAATGAGTGTATTTCAATGAATTAGTTTTAGAAGTTTCTTCCCTCCCCCCACAAAAAATTTAATGTCATGTACAGGGCACACAATTCTCCATTAAAAAGACCTAATCATACTGCTTGGCTACCACCCTAATGAGAGGAGCTAATTCCTCTACCAACAAGAGCTACCTATTTTTGCATGATTTAGAGTGGAATCCTGTGACTTCTCTTGATCCCTCATTTTATTTCTGCCCCTTTTCCTTCAGAATCACTCTCTTATTGCTTTGCTCAGTTTTGTCTTCTTGGTTAAATAATGTGACCAATGTCTGCCCTGAACCAAACTAACTTGTAGTCAGCAACTATGAGGAAACCGTGTTGTCGATGAATGATAATAGATATATTGCAGCAACCATCTCTAATTAGCAAATTCTTAATTCCACATGCTTCTTCTAATAATTCTTCATTATGGAAGTTCAATATTCTACCTGACTGTCTATTAGAACTCCCTTGACAACAGTATAAACTTACATATTGGCAAAAATGCGGGTGCTATCATTGAAGAAGTTAAGCATCAATGTAAGCTCGTAAACGTTATCACTCTTAACTTTCCTTTTTGGCCCTAGAATTAATCAGTAATATAGACAGGTATTACATAGATTTGACACAGGTATTGAACTAGAGTTGCCCACTTGGCAGAGAGACATAAAAACTGACATACAACAGCAAATTGCCAAAGGTTTCACACTGTGGCAATTGCCACACCAGGCTTCATTTTATTAAAAGCAATTTAATTGCTTTCATTGCTCTCTGGAATGAAAGCTGAAAAGCATAACAATAGAACTGTTGTGATATAGAATTGGGGGTGTAAGAGAATTCCATCAGAAATGGAAATGGGGGTGGAAGATGCCATAGTTTACATATTCAAGGTCAGAAATGGAATTCTGATCTCAGTTCCACAATACATTTCCTGAATTCTCATGTTTGAGGTCAGAAATGGAAATAATATGAACATACACCATCATTCCGTGTTGTTGTTTTTAGTCTGACAATGTTACATAAATAATCGAGCCATTTAATTTTCTGCATTTGCAATTTTTTCCCTTTCATTGAAATGCAGTGAGGTTAATTTCAGCCATAGAGGATAGCAAGAATAACACAGGTTTTAGCAAAGCTGAATTGCAGCAGAACAGAAGCACAGAACAGAAACAGGTTGGGATGGAAGTCACAGTCTCCTAATACCCTTATGCTGAATGTTGGTGATT